TTGGGTGGCGTAGGACTGGTGGGGTTACACACAATCAATGTGTTTTTTTCTTTTATTGATGATGAAATGATATTTAACTGATATTTTTGGATGTTTTATGTCTGTCGACTATAAATAATCAAACCTGCCAGTAGGTGGCAGCAAACTTTTTTAAATGATTCAGCATGCTAGCAGTAAGTGGTTGACCAATCAAAATAGACTGTGTCATGAATCGACCAATCAAAGGAGAGTAGACTCTGGAAAGGGGGGTTTAAAACACTTTCTTGAACAAACCATTTTAGACACAGAGTGAAAAGCTGATGCTTCAATGCAAGAGAATTTAAGTATTTTTTTTTTTTACTTTGGATGAATGTAAACCTTGTGTACCTCCAAAACAAAACGAACAAACTTTTAAAGTAGCACATCACGAGGGTATTTCATGGTCATTCTAGTTAACAGAACACTATATGGTCAGTTGTGTGAACTTGCTGTGTCTAATGCGGTGAAACATAACCTGCTGAGGGAATATCAGTATTGCTTGTTGCAGGGTCACAAGATTTTACTCGAGGACAATGTTACTCAATATGTTTATATGAATGCCCACGTCTGTGATACTGATGCCTGTATTTAATTTCTCAATATCTGTTTATGTCCTGAGCTGGTGTTTTGTTATTTCATCATCATATAAAAGCCAAAAGTGTACGCTTTATAGACCATTTTAAGGGATGTAAACAAAAACAGCGGTCCCAACATATTTCCTGTTTTACATTTTTAATTTCTATACCTTTCGAGATTTCAAAAAGAGCCACATATTGATAGATATTGTTATGATAGCTGTTTAAACATTAAGTTATGATTGAATTGCCTCTTGTTACAGTTATGAAATAGTTTGATAACAAGCAGGAAATGTTCATGGGCTACACAAGACTAGCCTATTTATTTATAACTTATCACTTTTTTTGTATTATAGCCCAGAGTACAGTAGGTATATGCAGTAGCAAACAGGTTAAAAGCAATCTGAATTAATTATAATCCACATTTGAAGTTGGTATCTCAAAAAAAATTGCTTTCAGTAATAGGTAAGATTTAGTTTGGCTGCAGTACCAGACATCACCACCAGGTGAGATTCAGAGGTGACCATACAAGGCGCAGTAGGTAGTGTTGTCGCCTCTGGTTCGAACCTCGGCTCAGTCGGCGTTTCTGTGTGGAGTTTGCATGTTCTCCCTGCCTTCGCAGGGTGCTCCGGTTTCCCCCATAGTCCAAAGACATGCATTACAGGTGAATTGGGTAGGATAAATTGTCTATAGTGTATAAGTGAGTGTGTGGATGTTTCCCAGAGATGGCTTGCGGCTGGAAGGGCATCCGCTGCATAAAAACGTGCTGGATAAGTTGGCAGTTCATTCCGCTGTGGCAACCCCGGATTAATAAAGGGACTAAGCCGACAAGAAAATGAATGAATGAATGAATGACCATAAAAGTGCGCCCCCTATGTGATCGCATTTTTCATACTTCTGACAATATTTGTAAAGTAGACATACAATTATGAAATAGTAGGGGGAGATTGGTGGTATTTGATTTGTATTTAGTCTCTAAAAAACATCCAAAACATCTAATAAAAAAAAAAAAAACATTTTTACATGTGGATTGCTGTAGCAAAGTAATGCTTTACGGCTATGATGAGTATCCTTGTTGCAAATCAATAAATAATTGTTGCTTAATAATAACTGTCATAATCAGTCAGATATGGAAACTATTATTTTTAAGCTTTCAACTGATATATGGTTTGTCATGGTTGCTTTATTTTTTTACTACAATATTAAGGTTTAAATATGTAACCATAAGAGCTGCAACAGGATTTAGGGTGAAGGTAATTGTGTTTTAATCTATTAAACTTCCTACTAAATAAAAACAATAGTAATATATGCATTCCTTTCCAAAGAAACATTTGTCGATTAAGATTTAATTGCAAAAAAAGTGATGTAAACTAGAGGTTAATGTAGCTGGGCTTCCAGCTAACTCTATCAAGCCTCTTCAGCTGCTCCAGAATGCAGCAGCACGAGTGGTCTTTAATGAACCTAAAAGAGCACATGTCACTCCGCTGCTCATCCGTCTGCACTGGCTGCCAGTTGCTGCTTGCATCAAATTCAAAGCTCTGATGTTTACCTACAAAGCGACTTTTGGCTTTGCTCCTTCTTATCTGCTCTCGCTTCTGCAGATCTATGTGCCCTCCAGAAACTTGCGTTCTGTGAATGAACGTCGCCTCGTGGTTCCATCCTAAAGAGGGAAGAAATCACTTTCCCGAATGCTCGCGTTCAATCTCCCCAGTTGGTGGAATGAACTCCCTAACTGCATCAGAACAGCAGAGTCACTCGCTATTTTCAAGAAACGACTAAAAACTCAACTGTTTAGTCTCCACTTCACTTCCTAATCTGCAATTGCCTCTCTGGATATCACACTAACTGTACCCAAAAAAAAAAAAAAAAAAAAAAAAACTAATACTTTCCTTCTTAGACTTTACAGACCTGAAACTTGCCTATAGCACTTCATTGTTGCTCTTATAGTTGTGTAAATTGCTTCCTTGTCCTCATTTGTAAGTCGCTTTTGATAAAAGCGTCTGCTAAATGACTAAATGTAAATGTAAATGTAGAGGTTAAATGATTTTCGAATACGTTTGTTTGTTTTTTGCATGTTAATGGGCTTTTTAATCATATAATATATGTCTCATATAGCAAAATATCTCTGTCCCAGCTCTGGTCCACAACATCAGCTTTTGCTTGGCCCACATGCCGCAGTGAATTACGGTACATGCCTGGACCAAGTCTGGCTTCCATACAAGGGCCAAACATGGACCATATCTGGGCCAAGTCTCAGCCAAATTAATGACCCATAACTGATGTTGGTGTGTCATGACCGCAATTGAAATTGATAAACCCATGAATCTTTGTGCTTTAGGCACACTATAGGCGTGCTTTGTCTTGAAGTGACTTGATTAGTAGAATTGATATATTTTTATTTGAAAATAATAACAAGGTTTTTTTTTTTTTTTAATTTGGGTCAAGATAGGCCAAGCTTACATGGGCCACATATCAATTATTAACATCTGGGCCAAATACTACAATTTATATCTGGCCCATCTATTGTGTGCCACCCATAGGTGCCACCTTAAAGATAGTGACACCTCTGGGCCATGTTTGGTCCACATGCAGTATGCCAGTGCCGGATGAATGCCTGCTGTGCCAGATTTATGCCAAATCTGGGCCAGAATTCTTTGCTACCTGGGGTATTTTGTGTACAGGAATCACTTACAGGTGGGCTGCAATTTTATGATGGACAGTTTTCTGGAGGTCTGGCCTTTGCTAGGTCTAAGTTTTGCCAGTCTGTCAGTAACCACAAACTATAGGCCGTACTAATATGTGATACGGCATGAATATTATCTGGAAATTTGTGATAAAAATAGCTGTTCAATTCTGCTGAAGTCTTTTAAACTTGTGTGACCTGAATGACTGAGTGGGCTATTTCAATAGATCTCCATCAGGTGAGGAAGAACAGGAGTGTTTGTCGCCCTCTAGTGCTCAGTGATCACATCAACACACAAACGTTGACGGTAAGAAATTTTGTTTTGTACAGACCATAGACTGAACATTACATAATGACAATAATTAAATATAATAATTACATAATTTTTAATTTTGTTTCTGTATATGTGTATGCAAATCTTCATAACTCATCAATAATATAACAAGAACACAAAGAATAAAGACAAACAAATAAATAAATCACAAGGATATTTAGACTATGGAGTGCCAAACCTGCAAAAATTACAAATTAAAAATGAATCAATTAATTAATAAATAAATAAGTAAATACAAAAATAGACAAACATAAAGTTATAAAATAAATTAATTAAGTATAAATGACAAAAAAGGCAAAAAATAATAAACAAAGGAACAAATAATACAAAAATAATTAATGACTAATTGTAATTAAAACACAATATTTTTGTAAAGTTTTGTAAAGTAATTTGTTATAATTTTATTATTATTATTATTATTATTATTATTATTTAAGTCTGTATTTTTATTCTATCTATCTCATGACAGATTATTGTGTATAATATAAAAACAGGCGGTTCATTCCACTGTGATGGCCCCTAATAAATCAGAGACTAAGCTGAAGGAAAATTAATTAATGAATAAATAATATGGAAACAGTGCATTGAGATCTATCTATCTACTAATTAGTTAATTAATTACTTTTTTAACACAGACACACCAGGGAAAAAGAAAGTGCAGTTTCAAGATTCCCACAGAAATCAGTCAAGTTTGGTGAAGGAAAAATCATTGTTTTGGGTTACATTCAGTATGGGGGCGTACGAGAGATCTGAAAAGTGGAAATATCAACAGCCTAAGTTATCAGGATATTTGTGCTGCCCATTACATTACAAACCACAGGAGTGGGCAAATTCTTCGGCAGGATAGCGCTCCTTGTCATACTTCAGTCTCCACATCAAAGTTCCTGAAAGCAAAGAAGGTCAAGGTGCTTCAGGAATGGCCAGCCCAGTCACCAAATATGAACATTATTAAGCATGTCTGGGCTAAGATGAAGGGGGAGGCATTGAAGATAAATCCAAAGAATCTTGATGAACTCTGGGAGTCCTGCAGGAACGCTTTCTTTAGCATTCCAGATGACTTTATTAATAAGTGATTTGAGTCATTGCAGAGATGTATGGATGCAGTCCTCCAAGCTTATAAGAGTCATACACAATATTCATTCTTTTCCCACTGCAGCATGACTTTATATTCTATACTGGACATTATTTCTGTTAAGTGACAAGACTTTTAAGAAAAGTCAGGCCTTACTGTCCTAATTAAATCATTAAAAATCAAGACATGCTCATATTTTATTTTGGTAAAATAAGCGTAATCTATAGGTCTTTGCCTTTCATATAAGCCACTTCTGATACCAAATGATCAACTAAAAGTTATTATTTATTGTTCCTAAAACTTGTATAAGCGACAAGACTTTATTGAGGTAGTGTACATAGCAAACATAAAAGTTAATGTGCTCTTGTCTTGAGCACTTGAAGACTCCGCCTCTCAGATCTGCTGCCTCGCTGACGTCACGCGCTCCGCCACATTCATACTCCACCCGCAGCAGCCATGATGGTGGGTGCCTTTCTCTCTCACTCCCTCCACCTTCATCCTTTACACCAGATTTCACCCAATGCGTCGAGAAATAACGCGCATCTGTCGTCTTTACACCCCAATCGTCCATGTCTCACCTTTCTGTCTGTCTCTCCACAGCAAGAAGGGCTGGACGACGGTCCCGATTTTCTTTCAGAAGAGGACAGAGGAGTAAGTTTTCCCCTTTTTTCCTTATTTCTATTGCCTTTTTGTGCTCCTATTCCGAGTCGTGTTCGTTTGTTGTCGTGTTAAGAGAGTGTGTGTGTTTGCTGGTGTCATTGTGGCCTGTGTGTGTGTATAATATATATGTGTGTGTGTCCTATTTGAGTCCGTCCGCTCACTTCCTTCTGACAAACCTCACACACATACACACTAACCTGTGTGTGTGTGCACAATAATTCGCCTTTTACACCCTGTAGTCTTATGTTTAGGCTGAAACTAGGACAAGAACCCGCAAGCCACATTATGCCACGAACAGATTTGATGTTAGCTTGTTTAATTAGCCTGTTAAAGTTAAAGAATAAGCCACCTCTGTGTGTGTGTCAGTGTCTGTCATCGAGCTGTTGCTTTATTATGTAGTGCAAATGATGTGGCCAGTGTTGTTTTAGTCATATTCTTTGACTGATTATAGTGTGTATAATATGTAAACATGATGTTTAGCTAAAGTTTTATAGTCAGACCCTCTCCTTAATAATATAACATCAGGAAAGTGTGCTTTGCTAATTTTGTATAGTGAAGTCATATTAGCAGCCAATGACTATCAGAGTACAACATTGTTCACAGGCAATTAAATGTTGTTTCGGAGTCATACATCATGGTCACAAGCCTCTTTGACCACATTGAAGCCTATTGATTAGATATATAAACCATACCTGTCAACATTGGCATGTGAAAATAAGGGATATGCCCACCCTAATAAGAGATTGCCCCGACTTCCCAAGCCCTCTTTAATAAATCCCAAATTGCTAAATATGTTCATTTGGAGTTGTTTCATTATAAATAAACAGTTAAATGGTCAGTAATATGTTTTATTATTATTATTTACAAAAGTAAAAATAGGGCGAGGCGGTGCAGTAGGTAGTGCTATCGCTTCACAGCAAGAAGGTCGCTGGTTCGAACCACGGCTCAGTTGGCGTTTCTGTGTGGAGTTTGCATGTTCTCCCTGCCTTTGCGTGGGTTTCATCCGGGTGCTCCGGTTTCCCCCACAGTCCAAAGACATGCGGTACAGGTGAATTGGGTAGGCTAAATTGTCCGTAGTGTATGAGTGAGTGTGTGGATGTTTTCCAGAGATGGGTTGTGGCTGAAAGGGCATCCGCTGCGTAAAAACGTACTGGATAAGTTGGCGGTTCATTCCGCTGTGGCAACCCCGGGTTAATAAAGGGACTAAGCCGACAAGAAAATGAATGAATGAATGAAAAGAAAAATTAGCAGCAAATACATTAGCAAACAGTTAAGCTAATTAAAATTAAAAGCTATTATAATGAAATAGAATCAAGCTATCAAATCTCATCACTTACACATTCAGATTAAAAACGGGGTTCTTACGGCTGCTGGAAATTCTAGAAAATGCTTGATTTTTAATATAGTGTTTTCAAGGTTAGAAAAGTGCTTGGATTTTTGGACAAAGTGCTTGAACTTGCTGGGCTCGAAATTGTGACTGTTTTGGTTGCATATGCGCACAATTTTGTCCTTGTGACCTCAAAATATATTTGGGAGCATATGTGCGAGTGCATGAATTGTTGTCGTGCGACCAGTTTTCATTGCAAAATGTTCACGGCATGCATGTATTTCTGGAGCTAATAATATCCCAAAATCTGAATTTGAATCGTGTTAAATGGAATTAACAATTGTAAGTTAATAAAGCTGATTATATGCTATTAAAATGTTAACTGGAGTTTCTTAACTTGATTAATGAACATCTGAAATTTAAGACAGCTTAATTTTTTAAGGCAGATTTTTATAGACATATTTTCAAACTTCAGATTTGTTTTGGTTCTGAATTCAAAGACTGTAGATATTGGGACGTTAAAAACAGTTAAAGTTTTTAAAAATTTAAACCAACACAATTCAAATTCAGATTCGTTTGGCACTATTAGCTTCATGCGTATTTAGAACATATTCACCCAGAATGCATCTTTGCACCTGAAACGCCAGTTCAATGACTGTTAAAAAAAAAAAATAGCAATGCACTTGAAATATCATGAACGACTAGTCATGAAAGTTTGGTACTACACCCAAACAAAATCTGACTGTGAGCTCATTTCTTGAGATATCAACTTTAGGTAGAAAAAGACCAAACTTAAAAACATACTTCATCCAATAACTGAATTTTTTAAAATTTATTTTTTAATAATTTTTGGGTGAACTATCACAATATATCTATGGTCTAAAGCAGGGATCACCAATCTTGGTCCTGGAGGGCCGGTGTCCCTGCAGGGTTTAGTTCCAAATTGCCTCAACACACCTGCCTGGATGTTTTAAGTATACCTAGTAAGACCTTGATTAGCTTGTTCAGGTGTGTTTGATTAGGGTTGGAGCTCAAATCTGCAAGACACCGGCCCTCCAGGAACAAGTTTGGTAACCACTGCTCTAAAGTATTCAACAATTTAAGTTGAAGTGTCATATATTGTGTTTTTAAAATAGCAAAGTGCTGGAAAAGCATACAAATGCATCTTGAAAGTGCTGGAATTTGAAGTTGGAAAAGGTGTAATAACCCTGTAAAAAGCAGCGAATGAATCACTTATTTATTTAGATTTTTTCGTTTGTTTACATTAAATAACAGATGTTACTTTAAAAATGCACACATCTAAAGTTATAATGAAATCATTTGATTGCTTTCCTAACTTTTTATGCTCATTTAGGATGAAATTAGTTGTGTTTGAAAAAAAACCCACCAAGATCGACATCTTTAGATTATTATTAATTATGTGTATATGTGTTGAAACACGCACCGAAAACCCAGACTTTCACTCCGCTTCAAATCGCGTGTACATACCTAGCGTCTATTTAGCACTATTGAGCCGGTCAGCTGACAGTCACGCACTGCTACATGATTGTTTTTAGGATTGCATATGAAGGCGAGACGAGACAAGGGAATCCTGCCGTTTTTATATTTATTTCAAAGTGTTTTCATGCCCAAACAAAGGATCGATGGTAGATCGTATGGGCCCTTAGAAACATCCTAAATCCTTGATTGACTGTAAACAATGTCATACTTTGATCATTGTGCTAATATAATTTCCTTATTTAGAAATTGCAAGAAATACTTTTCTGAAATAATGTTTTTAAAGAGAAAGTCTGAATGTACGAAGATAAAACCAGCTTCAGCCCAGTCTGATTATTGGGTGTACAAAATAGAAACTGTGCTACATCATCATGCAAAATTAAACAGAATAATGTAAACATGTTGAGGTGAAGTTGGTTTTATTTATTCGTTCACAACATTTGAAATGCTCCATATCTTGTTTACCACACTACTTTGAATATTCTGTCTAAAATCGCTTGTAAGTATGACTTCAAAACAACATTAGCACTATTAAATGGACTTAAAAAATACTGGGTTCCACACAATCCCTTCATCTCCTCTCATCACAAATCCATTAAGTTAACTCAATGGTTTTTACAATTTCAAGTTAATTGAACAAACAAACAGTCAAGTTGTCACTAAAAAACCCCTCAGAAACTGTGTTGCACAGCTCATTTTAAATAATAAGTAACAGTAAAGAGAAAGTAGCAAAAATATTTTATCATGAATGTTGTACTTTAATAGTCATTGGCTGCTAAGATGATTTCTCCATTTATAATTCGCAAAGAATAATATTCTGAAATATATTATTAAAGAGAAAAAGTCAGAATGTGTGAAAATAAACCAACTTTACCCTAATCAATTTTCAAGTTTTGAAATATTAAGCGGCTTGGAAATGTTGCTTTCATTTTAATCTTATTGCATATAATAATAATAATAATAATAATAATAATAATAATAATAATAATTAACTATTTAAATAAAATAAAACTAATATTTTTTCTTTTTTTTATTAAATGTAATCTGTACCCTTAGATATTAAAATAAATATGAATTTAAGATGGAAATAAATAAAGTAATTGTGTTGCTTTCATATTTATTTATTTATTTTACTAAATAGCTAATAATAATTATAATAATAATATTTTAATTTATTCTACTCAATAGGTAATGATGATAATTATAATAATAGTATTTATTATTTTATTATTATTATTATTATTATTATTAACAATTTAAATAAAACAAATATTTTTGCTTTTGCATAAATGTAATCTGCAACCTTTTGAAATTAAAATAAATATAAATTAATAATAATAATAATAATAATAATAAACTATTTAAATAAAATAAAACAAATCTTTTTGTTTTTGCATAAAATGTAGACTGTAGAGTTTTTTTTTGCATGTGAATGATCTTTTTATCTGCACCCTTTGAAATTAAAATAAATATGAATTTCAGATTCAAGGAAATACAATATTGTTGCTTTCATGTTCAGTTATTTGTTTTACTTATTAGATAATAATAATAAAAATAATAACAACAACAAAAACAACAATGATAATAAAATATTTAAATTAAATAAAAGAAATATTTTTGCTTTGCATAAAATGTAAACTGGACTTGTGCATGTGAATGATCTTTTCTCATCTGCTCCCTTTGAAATTAAATTAAATATATTTAGGATGCAAGTAAATTAAATAATTGTGTTACTTTCATATTTATTTTCATATCAATTAAGAATATATATATTTCATATTACTTAAGTAATACTTTCATATTTACTTTCATATCTATTAAGAATATATATATTCATATTCTTAATAGATGATGATGATGATGATGATGATAATAATTATAATAATAATAGGTAACTATTTAAAATAAAATAAAACAAATCTTTTAGCATAAAATGTAGACTGTGGAGTTTGAGAAATATGAACTTCAGATTCAAGGTTTTGAAATAGTGTTGCTTTCATATTAATTTATTTGATTTTATTTTACTTAATATTTACTAAAGATGATGCATTTAAGATGCAAGTAAAGGAAATTGTAGATCGTGCATGACAGTAATTTAATATTGGGCTTGGGGCAAACATGACATCAAAACATTTCCTTAAAATACTAAACTAAAGAATAAAACGAGGATTAGCATCTGATATAATGTGATGAAGATTGTATATGTAATTTCACACACTTGTAAAGTGTTGTAAAAGTTTGAGAATACTTTAAAAAAAAAGTAAGAACCCTGATGTAAGCACCAGGTAAACCAGTATTTTGATGAGGCACGTTGTCACTCTCTCTTCATTGCAAACAAAAAGGGTCAGTTCACACGTGAATTGCATACATCATTATTATGCGACATGACTTGCTCCAGACTGTCGCGAACACACTAAGAAAAGACTGTAGAGGCTGTACATACTGTTTGGTTTCTCTAACAGACTGATCATTTCACTTCATACTACCTTGATGCATCACCAGGAGCCAGATACAAGTCTTTAATATTGTAGCAGAAAATGTGTGGGTCTTTGGGGACAAGTGTTTTTTAGAATTAAAATACTTTATTCTAAAGTCACAACCATGTTTTAACCATAGTATTTGCTTAATTATTACCACAATTTATATAGCTATTGTAACTCTGACAGTGAGTTCATTAATGTAAGATTATAATATATGAAATGATGTTATTTTGGTGGTACGGTGGCTCAGTGGTTCGCCTCACAGCAAGAAGGTTGCTGGTTCGAGCCTCGGCTGGCCCAGTTGTTCATGTGGGTTTTCATCAGGATGCTCCAGTTTCCCCCAGTCTGGATTGGGTAAAACGAAATAGGCTGTAGTGCATGAGTGTGGGTGTGAATGTGAGAGTGTACGGGTGTTTCCCAGTACTGGGATGCAGCTGGAAGGGCATCCGCTGCGTAAAACAAATGCTGGAATAGTTAGCGGTTCATTCTGCTGTGGCAACCCCAGATAAATAAGTGACCAAGTCGCATATTATTTTACTTAAAATAATAATAATAATAGCCTGATATTTCTCTGCAGTGCTGTTTGTATGTTGTCAAAGGCAAATAACACAAATTGAATTTTTGAATGATTAAATGTAGGTCAAAGCAGAGATGACTCATTTTCATGGGCTCAGTCCTTTTATTAATTTGGGGTCGCCACAGCAGAATGAACCTCCAACTTACTTGTTTTGCGCAGCGGATGCCCTGCCAGCTGCAACCCAATGCTGGGAAACACTCATACACTCCCATTCTCACACATACACTATTGTCAATTTAGCTTACCCAATTCACTTATAACACAGGTCTTTGGACTTTGGGGGAAACCGGAGCACCCGGAGGAAACCCACGGGGAGAACATGCACACGTCACACAGAAATGCCAACTGTCCCAGCTGAGGCTCGAACCAGCGATTGGTTAGGCGTGAGGCGACTGTGCTACCCACTGCGCCACCGTGCTGCCCATGACTCATATAGGCCATGCAATTACCAATTTGCACAGAAAAAGACAATAAATGCAAATAAATGGTCTACTTTGAAACAAAATTTGTTAAAATAAAAAAACTATACTAATTCAGCCATATAAATATTAGTTTACTATTGTGTCATACATATAGGGATTTTGAGGGATATTGGCAGATTATACAGATTTAAAATTACATTTAATTTGTCATTTTGGGCCAAATTGTGATCGTTCAATAAAGTATTTGAGTCAAATGAGTCTAGTTTGTGTTAAATTTAACAGTATGTGTGCATACACTACCGGTCAAAGGTTTAGGGTCAGTCTGATTTTTAAATGTTGTAAAATAAGATTCTAATAATTTATTCAGTCATTTTAAAGATGAATTTTCATTTTCATTACTTCAGTCTTTAGAGTCACATCCTTCAGAAATCGCTCTTATATTAATAATAATAATAATTATTATTATTATTATCATCACTATTATTACTAATATTATTATTAATATTGTTATTATTACTAACATTATTATTATTATTATTGCTATTATTATTATTATTATTATTATTATTAACGGTAATAGTAATAAAAGCAATAATGACTGGAGAATAATTTCATTGGAACACACATTAAGAAAACAGCTATTTAAAATTGTAATAAATATTTAACAATTTATTTATATTTAATAAATGCCACCGTGATTAACACAATAATTTTCTTTAAAAAAATAAACATGAAAAAAAAAATACTGACCCCAAACTTTTGACCGTAGTGTGTATATTTTTTGTGTGTGCAAAGGCTGTTGCTATACTAAAACCATAGTGAGAGGATGTGGGGGAAAATTAGGCTGTAAATTAAGTGTAAATTTAATGTATTGCACTCCTTGATGCTTAAAATATCAGAGAAAGTTTTTTTATTATTACCTACAAATGTACTTGAAAGCTTAAAGTCCCATTAAAAGTATTATTTGTATGTCCATAGTATGACACTGTTGTTTGTTCTTGTCATGTTTTGTCTGGTATTCAACAGTGTGTGTTAAAATGTTCATTTCACTTACTATGTTGCAGCATTAATATGCATTTTAAATAACTTAAAATTTATTTTTATATTTTAAATGAGGAAACTAAACATGCATTATAGATGTGACAAAGTCTGCAAGTTTACAGTATATAACATACTTTGTAGAAATGCTGTGAGGTAAACTGCACAACCCCAAAGAAATAATGCTTATTAAAAAGGATAAGGGTTGGCTCTATATAGAACAAAAATCATTGATTTTATTTTACATTTTTGCATTTATGAGGAGAAAGCTTTGTTATGGATGTGAAATTGACACTTGTGTGACTTTGGTAAATCAAATATAATTGTTTGAAAACACTGACAGAGACATTTGAGTATATTTACAGTACTGTAAAATACAAGCCTAAGCAAACAACGTAGAAATTATATTACTTTGGTAAAAACGTAATTTTTTTTCATGGCAAGGTTGACATTTATACTATACTATAGGGCTGTGTGATTAATTAATATCGTATCGAAATCACAAATGATTTATTTATTCAAAATTTTTGTGCACTCCAGTCCCGACTAATGCTTCTCCCCTAGTTTGCTATTTGAACCAATCATAACACAGTGCTCCTAAGAGTGAGAGAACAGGTAAGCTTAATGGCAAATAGCCTGCATAAACAGGGATGATGACTTCAGCACAGAAGGGGCTTGGTGCCCACAAAAAGTCAAAATCTGTGGTGTGGGATTACTTTGGATATCTGAAGGCTGATGTATTCTGCCAGTCACATATCACATTTAAAAGCATTTGGAAAGTGTGAGGCGCGTTGCTTCCTTTAGCATTTTCAACGCACTTTTGCACTCGTGCTTCTTTTTCATTACTGGGCGACCATAAATTATTTTCACAGAGGAAGACAAACAGCAAAACATTGCTGCAGCTCTGATACAAGTTTTATTCATGGAGAAAATTAAAAAGCACTGGGTGTTTGGGTGTTCTATGTTTGTCTGAGGTAATTAGTCTACCATTAATACTAAAATGTGTGTATTTTATGTAAAGTATGAAGCTGATTGGTCAGTTTTTGTTACGTGACTTGGCATTTTAAAAAATTCAGATGTTTTCAACTAGGGGCGCCTGGAATATGCGTACATCTCCATTGGAAATAATGTACTTGTTCGTGCATTTTTTGCCTTAAGTCTGTTTTATAGACATGTTACAGGCCTTTGATAAAAATCTAATCTTCCTTTGAAATATGTTTCATATTCACACTAAAATTTCTGTGTGAAAATCGTGATTAAGATAGAAATCGTAACATTGGTCAAGAAAATCGCGATGGGTTTCTTTTCCCCATATTGCACAGCTCTACAGTACTAAATGACCTATGGAAACTGTATTGATTACACTGTATTTATTGTTGTATTAACAGCCCAGGGCGGTGAATGTGGATCTTCAGACTGACGCTACACTACAGGTGGACATTTCAGACGCTCTGAGTGAGAGAGACAAGGTCAAGTTCACCGTCCACACAAAGGTATGCAACATCAGTGATGGAAGAAATCCACAACTGTGTGTTTGTGATTTCAGCTGGCTGTGTGTGCATGTCATTTACTGCACTCATTCATTACATTGTTTTGTTTTTTTTCCCCAGAGCACTCTACCTAATTTCAAGCAGAATGAATTTTCCGTGGTCAGACAGCATGAAGAATTTATCTGGCTCCACGACTCGTTTGTGGAAAATGAAGAATATGCAGGATATATTGTAAGTATTTTCTATATTATTATGTGTTTGGCTGTACAATATATTGCTTCAGCATTGGTAGGACAGTGTGCGCATCTACAATAGTCACATTGCTGATGTTCAATGTCAAGAAAGGGTTGTTGTCGACCTCCAGCCACTTGCTAACTTTATCCATTGTGGAATTCAAGCTTAGAATTTGCTTTTGTTTTTTTCTCTTAAACATATCGGGCTCTTTTAACAATCTAGGTGCAAAGTCTAAAGTGCATGGTGCAAAAGCATTAAGGGAGTCTCCGAATTCACTTTTACTATTTTAAGGACTGAAAAATATGCTCTGCGCCCCGGCGCATGGTCTCACAGGGTTTAGCTTATTGTCTTAATGTGTTATGGGAATATTTTGAGCATAAACCAATCAGAGTCTCATCTCCCATTACATTTATGAGTCAGTTATGTTGGCCATGGCGCATTTGCTATTTACATGGTGGACTTTGTAAGTGATAAAACTGAACGCTTCACTAGTGAGAAAACAGTTAACCAGAAGATCTGCAGCGAGAGGATAAAGAACGAGCCTCCTCCTATCGGTCTTTCACTTTCTCTCTTTCGTGGATAAGGAAAGTGTGTTGTACGTACAGACATCTTTTAGCCTACATAAATAAATCAAATCAAATCCCTTTTATTGTCACATCATCAGCAGCACCTGTGCTATGATGATTTAGTTTATAATTTTTTTATTAATTTGGTTTAAGCGCAAAGATTTGTTTCAAAACTATTTCTAAATTCAGTTCTAATTTCCAGCAAACGAGTAAATGAACAATAATAACGAAGTGTGGTCAAAAAACGGAGTTATATCCAAACACACAAATCTGAGTATGTTTTTAATAAAACAAATAGAAATATGCATAAAATAATAAATAATAACAACAATGTTATACAAAAGCAAGATGTCGTTAATAAACTAAAAAAAAAAGGCCCCCCGAGAAGAAAGCATAAAGGCAGTGGTGTTTATATTTATGTACAAAATATAAATTTTTGTAATATTTTAATCATTTAATTCTTCTTCCTTTGTAAAGATATGTTTTAAGCAATGTGTAAGCGAGGCGCACAACTAACGCGCTCTGCGCTGGATTTTAGACCTGCTTTCAGCTGGTCTATTTCTCAGTCTATTTTAGATCCTCAAAATAGCAACGCACCAACAATGCGCCTTAACACACCTCTTTACTAGACCAAAACACCCATGAGTCCACAAAGTGGCGCAAATTTTATTTGCTATTTAAACAACGTGGCGGAAAACTGGAAAATTAAGGTTGCGTTGGTCTAAAAATAACAACATAACGGGGCAAACAGGCCTTGCGCCCTTTTGTGCCGGGTGTATGATAGGGCCCATCGAGTGATTTAAGGCCATGTCCATATGTACACAGATACTTTATAAAGCGAGTTCTCCCCATAGACTGTAAAATATATGGACGTAGTATCCATGACGTCACCCATAGGTTTCTAAAGAGCGCAAAAGAAGCCACAAGTAGGCGCGGCAAACCGTCGCCATTTTGTTCGCCCGTCATCACACCCACGGCGGGATACCAAACAAGGGCAAAGAGGCGGAGAGTGAGCGGAGCTTCAGACACCTGCTAGCATTTAGCTTGGACCTGGTTCAGACACACTTTGCTTTGAGAGAAATGCTTAATACTTTATCACCTGTGACTCGTTTGTATTCTGAGCACTTGTGCTTGGTTGTATACTATATCAATAAAGTGTTTTGAGCCACTAAACATTGTTCTTATGACGTTTTTCAACAGGAGGAAAACGCGAATTACTTCCAAACACTTCAGATATAGTCTGTGTTAATGTAAGACTATTGATGAAATCCAGCATAACACTGTATGACAACGCTTCAGATGACTGTTCTAGAGCCTACAGCTAATCAATCTGACAGATTCTGAAGTGCATTACAGCTCTAAATATAAATATAAACGATAAATGATCTTAAATAAAAAAATACATATATAGAGATGGTATATAAGTACATAACGTTACTCACATGGGAAACGGTGGCCACGTGAATGGTTTGTGAGCTCAATTAAGTGCCCTCAGCATGCCATGCCATCTAATAATTGTAGGAAACAAGTCCAAAAGGCAGTTGACTGTGTAAAGCCACATAAAACAACACAGAAATACGATAAATATGCCGAGTTCAGTGGCTAATCTGCAGGATTCAGCTGAAGTGACGTGATGGCGACCAACGAGACCTAGCTGTCACTCAAGTGGCCACGCCCTTAATTATGCAAACTTAATATAACTTAATATAAAGGAAACGGATGAGTTATAAAAAAATTCACCCCCCTCACAGTTGTCATGAAGGGTAATATTAGCTGTATTAACCAAAATCTTTTTTTGTACCAGGGTGTAAACACCCTTTTTTTCTGCTGTAAAGTTGGCCATTCTAACAGTGGGCTCAATTGAAATTTGCTCTGTTTTGGAGCCAGGAGCGGCCAGGACTAGCGGAATTTCGGATGAATTGCAGTTTTAGTTACTTCCGTATTGGCTTCCTGAGAGAGAGCGGGAGGTTGCCGCTTGGTTCTCCCCCCTTACATTTAAAAAAAAAAAAAAGCTTTCATGCTTAAAACTCAGCTTTCCTTCAAAATTTTAAAGTACACTGATCAAGAAAACATTAAAAATACAAATATTTCACAATAGAACTTTTTTCTGTTTTTTTTTTTTTCAATGCAATGCAATATTGATAAGCAAACTAGCTGTCTTTTAAAAACTGATCCAAATTTTTTTCACTGTTAGTGATGTAACTGATGGCTAATCGCCATCACAGGCCTGCAGTTTGCAGTTCTGCTTGTAAAGTAATTCCTTCATTTGAGTTACACTGGACACTTGTTTAAGTTGTCGGGCTCATGCTCTCTTTAAACACTGCTCCATTATGTGTGTGTGTTTGAGAGCAAACACTCCAGCCACTCTTGCCAAAGCTGAAATCATCACTTAATGTCCTTTTATAGCCCTGCTGTTCATAAGTAGATCTGTTGTCGCAGTATTAATATCTTTCAGTTCAGGTGCAAGAAAAAAGGGGAAACGATATTTGCTACAGTTTCCTTTGAAACTATTGTCAGGGTACAAAAGTTAAAGGCTCTGAATTATTTATAGCTCTTCGCATTAGACACCACACTGAGAATTCACAGTCAGTAAATGGTGATATTATCTATCACAGAGTCTTAATAGAAGAATGCAAATTATACATTGACTTTTTTGGTTATGCATCTAATGTATTAATAAAACATAGTTTTCAGTGTTTTGAGGGATATTAAGTGTATCTTGACCTCTGATTAGCTATTTTAAAGGTTACTGTATGTCCAGCTATACAAACTATGCATCCAATTTTACTTTATTTTAGGCTCAATGTAAATTCCAACAGCTATTTTACAATAAAAATGTCTTGTGAATCTTTATTATGTCCATCGGTGCTCTAAATCTGCCTGTTTCAGGCTGTTGATTGATTTTTTTTTTTGTCCATGTATATTTATATTATCCATTATTTTAATTAATAATATTATTATTATTTATGATACAGATCAGAGGAAATTATTTCTCACTATTAGGGGAAACCTCCCTATACATCTTGTTTTGACGTCTTTCAAGGGGGAATCAAGGGTTATTTAAAGGGGTCAATCCCCACCAAACCACCCTGTAGTTCTCACCCTGCCCTCTAAAAGCGAAATTATTTTGGGAGTCTCAGTTATGGTCTTTCCCTGTAGATTCCTCCTGCCCCTCCGAGACCGGATTTCGACGCTTCACGGGAGAAGCTCCAGAAACTCGGAGAAGGTGAAGGATCGATGACGAAGGAGGAGTTCACCAAGATGAAGCAGGAACTGGAGGCGTGAGTCGCTCATCATCTTACAGTTGAAGTCAAAATTATTATAATTATAATAATTTTTAGCTCTCCTGTCAATTAATAATTTCTATTTATTTATTTATTTATTAAATTTTTAAAGAAATATTCCCAAATGATGTTTAACAGAGCAAGGAATTTGTTTTTTAAAAGTATTTCCGATAATAATTTTTCTTCTCTAGAAAGTCTTTGTTTTATTTCGGCTTGAATAAAAAGTTTTTAACTTTCTAAAAATCATTTTAAGGTCAATATTGTTAGCCCCCAAAGCTATATTTAACAGAACAAACCATCGTTATACAATGATTTTCCTAATTGTTCTAACTTGCAACTGTATTTCTATTGGCTAACTTTAACAAACATCAATAAATACTTGAATAAATGTATTATTTATTGTTTGTTTGTGTAAGTAAATACATAAATTATTACAACCTCCTTGTAAAGTGTTATATGAAAATGTGTTGCAGTGAATATCTGGCCATCTTCAAGAAGACTGTGGCGATGCATGAGGTCTTTCTGTGCCGCGTTGCTGCCCATCCTGTCCTGCGCAAAGACTTGAACTTTCACGTTTTCTTAGAGTACAACCAAGACGTAAGTTTGACAATTCCTTTATTTATTTATGTTTTGCAATGACTATATTTTAAGTCTTGTCAATGATTATACTATTGTAATTATTGCAGTAATTATTATTTTTTATTTAAATCTAGCCATTCTAAAATAATTGACTTTTTTCTTTTATTATTTACTGATATTATTATTATTATTATAATAACTATAATTATTATTGTTACCATCATTATTATTATAACCTTTTATTTTACCAGGATAGACACATTGAGATTAAAAATTTCTTTTACAAGAGCATCCTGGCCAAGATTATGCAGTATACATGTCAGATGGGTCAACAAACAAAAAACAATTTACAGTGAACATGAACCACACATTAACAAACAAACTATTCAAAACAACTACAAGCCTGTGTTTCAATTTCAAGTCATTGATACTCTTTTAAAAGCATTTAGTGAAATCAATTCTTTAAACTGCCACTTTGTAGATTATTCCATGCAAATGGTGCTGCGTATTTAAAAGCCTTTTTCCCCATCTCAGTCCGCACTTTAGGAACAGTAAATAAATAAATAAATAAATAAATATCCTCTGAAAGAGGATATTTAAATATTTAAATCTTGACTCAACAGTCTCCACCAATTATGCAGATAATAATTATGTCAACACATCTTGATAATTGAGCACAACAAACCAATATTAATAATGCATATTCTGAACTGCGGATCACAGGGCGCACCAAACCATGGAAGGACACCGGGACAATATGTTTTTTTTTTTTTTTTACAGAGAACCGTTGCATCCCTAAAATTCAGTAAATCCTAGAGCTGCACGATTCTGGCTAAAATGAGAATCGTGATTTTATTTGCTTAAAATAAAGATCACGATTTTCTCACGATTTCTATAGATGTAAAAGATTTCTATAGATGTAAAATAAAGGTATAGCAAAAAAAAACATATGGCACAATCTCGATAATAATATTATGTGTAGGTCTACTGCTTTCTATAAATAATTCTATTCTATCTATTCTTATAATAATTCTTTTGTTGAATTATTATGTTTGAGATATATGCTTGCAATCTGTCATATTAGACAATTTAATTCACTGGCAAAATCAGACATTTGACATTATCAGATTATAGTCAACATTATACAGGCTAGAGTAGTTATACTGACATTGTAAACATTTATTTTCATGCACAACTATGGGTTCGCTATGAAAGAAAACGCATATCAAATGCTTGTCGTAATCATAACTCTAAAATGCGAAATGATCATGTAAATGAAGTGCACACTTTCGGTTTCATTTTGACTGCTAAGTGCTTGTTCATACTTCGTACGCGGCTCCCAAACGACCACTCTGTGCCACAAACTAAATATTATTTACAACTGTATTACCTGTTACTCGCAACATATGCAGGTTCTGTTCACTAAGTAGAGCGCGCGCCCTCTCTGTGATAACAGCTCCCGGTCAGCAGCTCACATCATTATATTAAGACAAAAATGACATTTTTAGGTGAATTATACCTTATAAATACAGTATGTGGCTCATTCAACATCCTTTAGAGGTGTCAATTTCACGGAGCAACGTGTGTAAAACAATGAAAAGACTCGTGCAGCCGCCTTTTCTTCTCTCCTGAAGTTGAAAATATGATTGGCAGAACCGTAGAAATGCTGGATTAAGATCGTCTAAGGGGTTGAATCGAGATCGTGATCTTTTAACGATTTAATTGTGCAGCTCTAGTAAATACTGTGTAAAAATATTCCTGAGCATGTAATTGTTCGTTTGACCTTGGATTTGTGACTTGAAATAATAGCTGAGTATTAACTGATTCTGAGTAGTTGCTAAAAATAATGTCTACGACTTTAATTCTTAATTTGTCCTTGTCTTTTTCTGCTGACATTACAGCTGAGTGTACGAGGGAAGAACAAGAAGGAGAAACTGGAGGATTTCTTTAAGAACGTGGTGAAATCTGCAGACGGGGTTCTGGTGGCTGGAGTGAAGGTCAGTTGTTTTTTTCTATCTGCATCATGTGACGCTTTTATGTGACTCTGCTTTAGAAATCAGGGGGAGGAAAGAGAGGCCACTGCGGCCAGCACCGCTTCTAAGGAATTATTTACTTTGGCTTTGAGTTCAGCTTGTGGTTGAAGGACAGTTTATGAGTCTCTGGTGAATGCTTGACTAGTAGAGGAATGCAGGATGGCCATGACACATGTAGTCAGAAATACAGGTTGAAATTGTTGCTGTCATTACATCCCAAAGGCTCAATTATTTTGTTAATTGAGTTATTGCATCAAAAAAGCCATTTTTTCTTATATATATACCAGTAACATACCATAACCATGACTTTTTGAAGTGAAGTAACAATAGTATTATTATTATTTATGATTATTTTATTATATTATATAATTATATATGTTATGTGGCGATGCTGTGGCGCAGTAGGTAGTGCTGTCGCCTCACAGCAAGAAGGTCGCTGGTTCAAACCTTGGCTCAGTTGCCGTTTCTGTGTGGAGTTTGTATGTTCTCCCTGCCTTCGCGTGGGTTTCCTCCGGGTGCTCCGGTTTCCCCCACAGTCCAAAGACATGCTGCACAGGTGAATTGGGTTGGCTAAATTGTCCGTTGTGTGTATGTGTGTGTGTGTGTGTGTGTGTGTGTGTGTGTGTGTGTGGGTGTGGGTGTGGGTGTGGGTGTGGGTGGGTGTTTGGATGTGTGTGTGTGGATGTTTCCCAGAGATGGGTTGCGGCTGGAAAGGCATACGCTGCGTAAAAACGTGCTGGATAAGTTGGCGGTTCATTCCGCTGTGGCGACCCCGGATTAATAAAGGGACTAAACTGACAAGAAAATGAATGATTGAATATATATATATTATAAATATTGTTTTTATTTAATCATAATAATGATATTAAAAATCAGAAATATTTTGATTCTGTTTCCCAAATTCGTTTGCATGATATTTGTATTTAGAATAGGAAATATTGCCAGTTTAATGTCGGTAATATTGTATATAAGCAGGACTTGACATTAACTTTTTTGATCACCAGCCCCTGTGTCTAGTAGTTTTCCAACATCAGTCACTCCCCATGTTCACTAGCCACACTTTTATTATTGGGAAAATTATATTTGACTTTGGCATGCTAAAATTACTTGATTTAGATGTTATGTTCACATGCCGCCTCATTCATTTCACTGTTTTGTGTTGTGTTAAGCTTGCTCAGTGAGCATGAGCATATGGGCTGTGTTTTCATAGTGTCTCATTGCAATTAGCTTTATTTCACATGACTTTTCAGGGCTCAACACTAAGATTGATTTTCTCAAATTCTATCACAATTTTTTTCAGATCACACCGAAAATAAATAATTATTTCTTAGCCACAATTTTTAAATAATGTGTCAAAACATGCAAAATACTGCTGTATAGGTGCACTTTTTAATACAACAATATTTTTCTTAAAAAACAAACAAACAAACAATCGACGTTTAAAAAAAATAAAAGTATTGCCATGTATCTAAAATAATGGCTAGGTCTCTCAGACCACTAGTTAACTAAACATAAATGGGGAGTTAATCTCCTATTAAAGCAATGTTATTGTAAAAAATCAAACCATTAACAAAAAAAACTGTACGCAAAAAAGAAAGCTGGTGAAAAACGTGGTCCTACTATTTGTGATAATGAACACATGATCGCATGTATATGGTTAGGCCAATAATAATCAGTTTAAAGAATGGTTAAAGAAAAAGTGGCAGCTGGTGTTGGTTGCAAAGAGACATTAATAAAAGCAGCAGTATTGTGAGTGCACAAGCACTTGCTGTCCAGTCTATTTCAAAGAGAACCAAACGCAGTTGCTTTTCCAGGCATGACTGCTTCGCACCAGCAAATGGGAGCGCACGCTTTTTTAAAAAGCGTGCATCACATCTCCTGCAAGTGATCATCCTTTCATTTGGTATTCACCTGCTTTGGTTTGCTTGCGCTGATGATATTTTTTGTCAGTCGTGCTGCTTCTTTATTTTAAAATTGCATTTGCATGAATATTGTCGAACCCTGCTTTTAGGAAAACTACCATTAAAAAAAAAAAATTTCTACTGGCCAAAGTGGCTAGTGGGAGTGACTGTCTTACCCACCACAGCTGAAATCTCCCCACATTTGGAGCACTGGCGGGTTAATGTCAAGCCCTGTATATAATTAATACAATGTTTTTATTTCTATTTTAATATAAATAATATAGTTATTTGTGAAAAGTATGTTTTTTATGTGACTCTGCATTGTTTTTATTTTTCAATGACAGGACGTTGATGATTTCTTTGAACATGAGAAGACATTCCTTTTAGAGTATCACAACCGAGTCAAAGACTCCTCTGCCAAATCCGACCGAATGATCAGGTCTCACAAAAGTAAGTTTCTCTCGTCTCCGTCTCGTTTTTGTGAGTAAAATCATGACACGTTTATAGATTCTGCTGGGTCTCGTGACAACAAAAGCATTGAGGAAAAGGCAAGGTCAAAGTTCTCTTGTCACAGGAACAGTGCTGTCTGTGTGTGTGTGTGGTGGTGGTTTAGATGAACAGAGATTTGTATAATGACATAGGAATGATCTAGATGTACTCTATTAAGGTGGTTTACATGGACATACAGTTGAAGTCAGAATTTTTTAGCCCCCCTATATTCTTTTCCCCCCAATTTCTGTTTAACACATTACTAAATATAATAGTTTCAATAACTTATTTCTAATAACTGATTTATTTTATCTTTGCCATAATGACAATACAAAATATTTGACTAGATATTTCTCAAGATACTCTTATTCAGCCTAAAGTGACATTTAATGGCTTAAGTAGGTTAACTAGGGTAATTAGGCAAGTTATTGCATAGCGATGGTTTGTTCTGTAGACTATCAAAAACAAATAATGCTAAAGGGGGCTATTAATATTGACTTTAAAAAGGTTTAAAATGATTTTATTCTTATCTAAATAAAGCAAATAAGACTTTCTCCAGAAGGAAAACATTGTAGAAAATACTTTGAAAATGTCCTTGCTCTGTTAATCATCATTTGGAAAATATTTGAAAAAGAAAAACAAATTCACAGTAGGGTGAATAATTGTGACTTCAACTGTACCTTGTGTCCTCGTAATCCAAGACACTTAAAATACATACTTAACAGGGTCTTTTCTCTCTTTTTTTTTTTTTTTTTTTTTTAAGAAGTAGTCCTCATAAACCAGCTGCTGGTGTCAATGTCAAACTAAAGCTGTGTCCTAAAATGGCTCACTATGCACTTATGCACGGTGTACTTATGCACTTACACACTCAACAGCATAGTTTATGTATGTAGTGTCGTCCAAAATAGAGCACTAATATTTTTTGACTTAGCGGAAATTTAAACCATTTCCCTGATGACGGTTGCCAAATCAGTGAAATAAATGACCAAACTATCAAATAATACCTGCCATGAGGATAACCGCATTCACCATCGGGAGGCGCCATAATCACTCTCTAAGGAGACTTTTGCTTTCACAATCCAAAATAAATGAAGTAATCCAACATGTGCGCCTGATAGCTCCGCCCCTTCTGCTAAATGAGCAAACCAGCTGCCATTGAGTGCATGAACTGTCCATAATTCCACACTTCGTTTCACCGGTTGAATGAGTGCATCATCCGGGTAATTAAAGTGCACTTCTTATTTTAAGAGTTTTCAGTGTGAACACACTACTTACACTATTTATATTACAAGTTGGCATAGAACAGTGCATAAGTATGCAATTTGAGATGCACCTTAACAATCAACAAGCATTAGGATTTCCCAAATTCGTCTCAGACTACCAAATCATGAGCAGAGCTTTACTCTCACTCTTAGACTGTGGATTAAAGCTAATAATATTGTTAATAATGTTCAACATCGTGCACATACTGATCGTTTACATCATAAGACATCAGTGTATCATTAAGAGCCATGGTGATTGATTTGAATTTATTTGTATGTGTTTATTTTTAATCTCAAAAACGATAACCAGTGAATTGCATTACACTAATCTCCATGCACCACAGATTTAGCTTAAAATCTTCTTTCAAGTTTTCCTGAAGAAACAGACAAATATCAGGCACAAATCGCTTCAAAAGGGAGTAATTCTCTTTATCAGTTAACACTGTTTCTGACGGCTCTTACCGTTTTAGTTGTACCTTTTTTTTTTTTGGAAATTAATTGCATTATAATATTATGTTGCACATAGTTCAGATGGCTGAAAATGGTGACTTCTCTTCAGATGCAGTATTCAGAAGTTCATCTTTATCATTCCTGTGACTCTTTTGTGTTGTGTTTTTCCTGTTCTGAGCCAAATGTTTAGGCTTTTTCTTGAGTGCTTTGAGTGTTATTGGCACAACACGGAAACCTGATCTGGAAGAGCGGAAAGAGCTTTGAAGCGGTGTGATTCGGGCTGGATATGCAGCTTTGACTGACCTCTGTGTCTGTTTGCGTGTTTGTCTGTTTGTGTGCATGTTTGTGTGTATGTCTGTGTGTGTGTCTCTGTCTTTGTTTGTTTGTTTGTATATGTGTGTGCTTTTCAGGTGCAGCGGATGACATCAACAGAATCGCCTCCACGCTCTACACTTTAGGAACTCAAGACTCCACAGATCTGTGCAAGTACGACACCGATCGAAGCATTTTAGCCGGTTTGCTAATGGAGACAAATGGGTTTCTCAAATGTGCTTTTTGTTTTGTTTTCCTCCCCAAACAGATTTTTCCTGAAAGTATCAGAGCTTTTTGAGAAAACACGGGTAAGTGCTTTCATTTTCATAGCACTTTTAATATACATCACTTGACAAAAGTCTTGTCATCAATCCCAGTTGTAAGAGCAACAAATAATAACAAGACCTCTAGTTGATCATATGGAAAAGTGGCAGAAGGTAGATTTTTCAGATGAATCATCACAAATACTGCAGAAGACCTATTGGAACCAGCATGGATCCCAGATTCCCTCAGAAATCAGTCAAGTTTGGTGATGGAAAGTCATGGTTTGGGGTTACATTCAGTATGGGGGCATGTGAGAGATCTGCAGAGTGGATGGCGACATCAACAGCCTGAGCTATCAAGACATTTGTGCTGCCCATTACATGAAAAACCACAGGAAAGGGTGAATTCTTCAGCAGGATAGCGCTCCCTCTCATACTTAAGCCTCCACATCAAAGTTCCCGAAAGCAAAGAAGGTCAAGGTGCTTTAGGAATGGCCAGCCCAGTCACCAGATATGAATATTATTAAGCATGTTTGGCCCAAGATGGAGAATCCAAATAATCCTGATGAACTCTGGGAGTCCTGCAAGAACGCTTTCTTTGGCATTCCAGATAATTTTAATAAGTGATTTGAGTCATTGCAGAGATGTATGGATGCAGTCCTCCAAGCTCATAGGAGTCAATATACAATATTAATTCTTTTTCCACTGCGCCATGACTTTATATTCTATACTGGACATTATTTCTGTTAAGTGACAAAACTTTTGTCTTATCCAAGTCACACATCCCTGTCCTAATTAAATAATTAAATCAAGCCATGATCATATTTTATTTTAGTAAAATAAGCGTAATCTAGAGGCCTTTGCCTTTCATATAAGCCACTTCTGATACCAAATGAGTAACAAGTTATTATTTGTTGTTCATAAACATGGACTTTTGGGCAAGACTTGTCAGGTCGTGTATATGGGTTTTAATATTTGAAGTAATTATTTGTTGTACTACCCTATGAAGTCACATTTAAGACTTATAACCTCATTTTTAAGATTTATTTAATCACAACACATTTAAAACAACAACACTTTCTGGCATTATAAAAAGAAGAAAAGAAATGTAGTGTAAAAAAGTCTTGCAAAATAGCTTACAAATTATGTTTTAGTAGATGTTTAATAATGAATACTAATGCTTAACATTGCATTTTAGTTTTGTCATAGTGAGTTTTGTTAACTCATTGTGTTGTGATGTTATTTATGGACTATTATATCATATGAATGTATAATTTAGCTTTCATTTTATGTGTTTTGTTTTATTTTTATTTTAAGTTAGTGATGTGTCTTTTGACTGTTGTTTTTTTATTATTATGTTACGTCCTTTCAGATGTTAATTTTAAACTAAGAGTATGTGACATAACATACAATAGTTTCATGTGTGTGACAAGCCGATGGAGAGAGAAATGAACTGAAAACCAAATATCACTGCAATTATTTATTGCCCATACCTCCAGTGAAACTAGTGAAAATATATTGTACAGAGAAACTAAAATATTTACAATGATTACATGATCAATTACCTGGGGGAGAGGAAGTAGTTAGATGTGCTTAAATCAAAGAAATAAATATAACAAAACTCAGTAACGGTTTTCAACAAACTAAACTAAATATGAAAAAAAGCTCAACGTACCAAACGTCTTAATTAAACTACTCTAACTAAAAACAAAACATACAGAAAACAGCACATCCTCCTGAACCTATTGAACTAATACAAATTATGTTTGTCAGTGTTGTATATGTATATCGCGCGACTTACTCACTCCTACACCTCTCCGAGGTATCACTCAAACATGTCAGTTAACTGGACGAGTTCACAAGCAAACACACATTGCATTATCAAATCTCAAAGCTTTAGACAAGAGCATTAAACACAAGCTAAACACATTCTCTCAGACTAGCCCTCGCAAGAGAGACTGTCCTCACAGAGACCCACAGAAAAAGTAAGAGCGAGAAGGAAAGAGACAGAGAGAGAGAGAGAGATCGCCATTGCAGTTTGGGCTCTGCTTTTAAACGCTACGCCAACCAGCGATTGGTGGCGCAAACCCAGCGTCAGCGGCCAACGTCATCAGCATTAAATGCAGATCCTCCAATGCCGTTCTTACCTGTAACACACGCATGAAATGACACACCCACATACAAACAAACGCACACACCTATCCAAAATACGTTCTGCAAGCGAACGTTACAATTAATTGTCACCAAACTTTTCTGATGAATGGAGAATTTACACTGTCATTAGTTAATAATCAACTAAATGAACATTTTGTGTGAACGTGTGTGAGATGTTTTCTTGTTTTCTGTCCAGCTACTGTAATTGCAGAGGTGTTTCTGACCTCAGCAGATTTGATCAAAACAGAAAGCAGAATAAAAGACTCGGCACTTCCTGTTTTTCATCTCTGTTTCCTGTGCAGAAAATTGAAGCGCGTGTGGCGGCCGATGAGGACCTGAAGCTTGCAGACCTGTTGAAGTATTACCTCCGAGAGTCTCAGGCGGCAAAGGTAGAGTCTTGTGTATTAGTATGAGGAGCTGACAGAGGCTCAATACAGCTGCTTTACTACTCACTGATTTATTGATGGAGACGAGTTACACTGCCATACAGTCCAAGAATACATTTACACCACAGATCCTGATGGTCAATTTTGATTTTGTGACTGTATCTGATTTATATATATATATATATATATATATATATATATATAAAATTATTATTATTATTGTTCTTATTATTATGGTTATTTTTATTATTATTAGTATTATTATTATTAAGAATTTTTAAAATCATTTTTTAAATTATTTATTTTATTTATCTATTTATTTTTGATGACCCTCTTACATCTTTTAAAAGTGACTTGTATTTTCTCCATCGATGGAGACAAGTTACACTGCCATACAGTCGAAGAATACATTTACACCACAGATCCTGATGGTCAATTTTGATTTTGTGACTGTGTCTGGTATATATATTATTATTATTATTATTATTAATTATTTTATTATTTTTATTATTAATTTTTTTAGATTTATTACTTATTTAATATTATTATTTTTTTTTCATTTATTTATTTATGTTTTTTGATGACCCTCTTAGATCTTCTTTTAAAAGTGACTTGATGTCTGCATTTACGCTGCACATGCAAACACAAATGACCCTGAAAAAAAAAAGAGCGGGCGCTGACTTGACAGCTGATGTTAAAAGACCGTTCTTTTCTCCATTCTAGTATTTAATCTGCACAGTTGAGTTTTTTTTTTTTTTTTTGTCAAGTAGTTTTACAATAAGTTATGAAAAAAAAGATCTTATTTTAATATAGACTTCATGGTTTGGTTTGTGCACATCATTTATACAATAGTTTTATTTTAGGCTGAATTGTTAATACTGTGGATTTAGGCCTCACTCTTGCTTGACAGAAAAGTTCTAATTTGGTCATCTTCTTTAAATCTAGGCTTTTTTTTTTTAACCAGTAGGAGTTTTAATTTTGTGTCCATGGCATGAGTTATGCACGTGATGTATGTAGTTTATATTGGTTTATATTGTTTATATGGTGGATGTTTTGCTTTTTGTTTCTCTCACCCTATTATTAAAATGCTTGAATGCATTGAATTAAGCTACATGACAATATACATTTGTTCTTGTTCATGAGGTTTAAGGTTCATTTAAGGTTTGGGACTCTTGCAGAACTCTTTTCTGAAATGAAAGCGTCAGAGTTTTTCCAATTTTTTTAATGACATGTGACTCATTTAGGGCTGCACGATTCTGGCTTAAATGAGAATCACAATTTTTTTTTTGCTAAAAGTTAGATCATGATTTTCTCTTGATTCTGTAGATTCTATGATATAAAGGTTAACATGAGTAGGCTATTATAATAGTTATTTCTCTAATATATGGTAAAACAACAATAATATTAATATTAGGCCTGTGTGTAGGTCTACAGTTGAAAGTTTTGTATAGACTTTGAATGGTGGACTTAAAATATATCCTGTTTGTTAACTCACAGTAAAGTGATGACATCAGAATACAACTATTCATAATTCTGAAGTTGATTTAGGCCCCGTTTACTCTAATGCGTTTTAGTTTTAAAACGCTTAAGTTTTGCTACAGTTACGCCATCCATCCACACTATGCCGGAGTTTTCGAGCCCCGAAAACGGAGCGTTTTGGAAACGCTGGAGAGGCCGTTTTCATTCTAAAACGCTGCTGCTCCGTCTCAGTGTGGATGGGGGAAAACGGAGACATCTGAAAACGAAGGCGGGGCTGCAGACATTCGCCTTCGGCTTTTTCCTCAATATTAAGTAGCCTACACACAGTTCAGTCCTGCATCCTCTCCTTGTAAGTTCAGACATCATCAAGTTATGAAGTTTGATATGGAGTGTACTTTATAAAGTTATTCACATCACCCTGGCTTTGCTGTTTCACTGCCTTAACAATAAAATGAAAACATGATGTGAGGGAACTGCCTATTTTTATTTTGATATTAGCAACTTAACAGACAGCAGAAATGTTGAGGCGTCGTGTAGCTGAATAATTTAGGTCCTGAAACGCTAGTGTGGACGTGGATCGTTTTCATTCTACAACGCCGTTTTAAAACTAAAACGCACTAGTGTAAACGGGGCCTTCTTATGTTTGAGGCATAGGCGTGCCATTTGTCAAAGACAACATAATTAGACAATTTTTTTCACTGGTAAAATGAAACATTTGTTGTCAAATTCCATCCTGGTTTATATTCAATATATAGGCATTTATTTTTATGTTAAACATTTATTTTCATGCACAACACTTTGTGTTCGCTATGAAAGAAAAAAACATCAAATATTTGTTGTAATCAGAACTCTAAAAGGCGATATGATCATTTAAAACATGTACGCGCGCTTTCACTTTCACTGCCGAATGCTGTTCATGTCATGGCTGCCGTCACCCTTAGGAAAAAAAAACTCTCTCAAACAATCGCTCTGTGCAACAAACTGAACGTTATTGGCCACTTTATTACCTGTTATTCACAGCCTCTGTTCACTAAAGTAGATATCATTGGCGAGCACACGTATCCTCTTAGTAGTAAACAGTGCATCACGTGTGATTTCATGGCCTCGAATACATCATTAGATGAAGACAGAAATGACATTTTGGGTTGAATTATACCTTATAAATACAGTATGTGACACTTTTAACTCCATTTGCAGGTGTCTATGTTTCTGAGCAACGTATATAAAACAATGTGAAGACTTGTGTGTTGCCTTTATGCTTTTCTCCTGACCTTGAAAATATAATTAGCTGAATTGTAGAAAAGCTGGATTAAGATCGTGTGTTGGGATGAGTCGAGATCTTTTTTTCCATTAATTGTGCAGCTCTACTGGGAAATCTACCTGCTTATACTGCAGACATGAGGAGACACAGCCTATTAATATTGGATAACTTTCCACATATGAACGAGGCCTGAATCTGATCTGAGTAAATAGGAATTTGTGTGATTTTTATATTATATTTTCCTGCTTGCATGTATGTGGGCCATATACCATCTGTGTTCCATGAGAGAAAATTGGGTCACTTTAACCATGCAGTGTAAATGCAGTCTGCACAGATTCGCACTTGGCAGAGGCAAAAATGCAGGAAAACCTGAAGCTTATGATTCATATTTGTAAACTGTTTTGATAAAGTGTGACAGCAAACATGTTTAGAAATATATTCAAGTATGTTAGCTGTTATACAGGCATATATAGGATGCTTTGCAATATTATATTTGTGCATATAATTAGATTAGTCAGTACTGAGCCAAATATGTAGCTTATCTATCAAAATAACTTACAATAATGGTCCAAAAATTAGTAGAATTAATTTATATGTTAGAAAAAAAAATAAAATAAAATTTTCAAAAATGGCAAAAGTCAAAAGAAACAAAATATAAACACAATTTTGTTGAGTATACAATTTTTGCAATACTTTGCTTGCTTTTAATTGTATTATCTTTTAATTTCTAAAGGTGTTCTGTGACTAAAATATTATTTAATACATATATATGTTTAATAAATATGTTTTGTTTAAATGCACCAAAATGTATTACCCATATTCACTAAGAAATGGAAAAAAATATTCATTTTCAAAATGGGGTCTGCTCAATTATGCTGAGTACCTGATCTCAAAATAAGAACTTGTAGTAGTAGATTATGGTAATGTGCAAGCATTGGCTGAAATTGTAAGGTTTTAATTGTAACGTAATTATTGTTTTTATTTAAAGGTATGGGCTGAATTTGTGAACACAGTTTAGTGAAATAATAATAATAATAAATATTATTATTATTGTCATGTAAAATGTTAGTATTTTATTTCATAATATAATTTGTTTAATAATAGTTATTGTCAATCATTTTTGTATTTCTTAGTTGCTTTTAAATAATATTTTATTTTAAAGTTAACAATAGTAATATTGTTTTGTTTATTGGTATGATTATTATTGTAATTATTATTATTATTATTATTATTATTATTAATTTTTTGTTGTTGTTATTATTATAAGACTCAATTATTTCATTAATTGAATTATTGCATAGAAAAAATAAGCAATGTTGTTTGACCCATACCAATAATGCTCTGAACCATGACTATTTTAAAGTGAAGTAACAAAAGTAGTGTTTTATTCATTTATTTAATTTTATTTCATAATAATACTATTAAAAAAACAATATCTTCATTTTAATTTGTGAATATGTTTGCATAATATTTGTATTTAGAATATTTCAATTGAGTCAGGTGTTTTTTTGTAACAATGATCATCATAAATAGTTATTGTTGTTATTATGAAATATTATGAATTCTGTTAAATAGAAGCCAAAAAGATTACAATATTTTTTACTTGGCCTTAACTAAACTTACTGAACCATGACTTGTATACAGTAAAGTCAGAATTATTAGCCCCCCTTTGATTTTTTTTTTTTTTTTTTAATATTTCCCAAATGATGTTTAACAGAGCAAGGAAATTTTCACAGTATGTCTGATAATATTTTTTCTTCTAGAGAAGGTTTTTTTTTCGGCTAGAGTTAAAGCAGTTTTAAAAATTTTCAAAAACCATTTTAGGGACAAAATTATTAGCCCCTTCAAAGCTATTTTTTTTCGATAGTCTATAGAACAAACCATCGTTATACAATAACATGCCTAATTACCCTAACCGGCCTAGTTAACCTAATTAACCTATTTAAGCCTTTAAATGTCACTTTAAGCTGTATAGAAGTGTCTTCCGAAATATCTAGTAAAATATTGTTTACTGTCATCATGGCAAAGATAAAATAAATCAGTTATAAGGAATGAGTTATTAAATCTAATATGTTTAAAAATGGGTTGAAAAAAAATCTCTTTTAAACAGAAATTAGGGAAAAAAATAAAAAGTGGGGCAATAAATTCAGGGGGCTAATAATTCTGACTTCAACTGTATTTATCAAAACAGTTTAATGTGCATTAAATCCCTAATGTTGATTGTTTATCGCATCTTCTTCTTCTTTTATTTATTGTTTGTGAAAAAAGTTTTGTCTTTATTTGAGAATGGCATGATCTCTTCAACAGGACCTGCTGTACAGACGAGGACGGGCATTAGTTGATTATGAGAATGCTAATAAAGCGTTGGACAAAGCCAGAGCTAAAAACAAGGACGTCCTTCAAGCAGAAACCACACAGCAAGTGTGCTGTCAGAAGTTTGAGAAAATCTCTGAATCTGCAAAACAAGGTACTTAAAAAAAAAAAATGAAATTACTGATATATTCCTAGCAAGGTTTCTACACGTCTTGAAATTACTTAAATCTACTTGAATTCCAGACATATGGACTCAAGGCTCTGAAAGTACTTAAAAACAAACATTGTTCCTTAAATTGTTTCAATTAGATCTGAAATTAAACTTGTTTCTGGCTTAATTTCAACAATTGTACTGAAAAAGCTGAGAAATTCTTTAAATTACAAATCTTGCATTTAAATCTTGTACAACAACACTGACAAATAATGGACATTTTATCAATATTTCAGAAACCACATATGAATATCAGCACTATTGAATTTTATTAAAGTTCTTTGAACATGATTTTTTTTTCTATGTAAATATTAGCTGTAAGTGAAATGTTTAGTAGTGAGGACTTTCATGGCACTACATATGCAGAGGTATACATTTCAAAGGTGCTTAATTTCAAATTGAAAAGTCCTTGAATCTGCTTTTCGTGAAAGCGTGGGGACCCTGTCTTAGATGTTGTTAGATTAGGGTGGGATGTATTATTGAAAAGAAATAAAAATAGTGTGAATTAATGTGAAAAATATTGCAGCCATAAATGTTCTCTTTGTACAGTCTTAAAAAGTCTTAAATTGTCTTAAATCCCAAAAGCAGAATTTTAGGCCTTAAAAAGTCTTCAATGTACGGAAATATTGTGTTATAGGGTCTTAAAACTTTTAAAGTCTTTTAAAGTCTTAATTTTCCTTCATGTATTGCTACCCAATCTAGCTTAAACCCATTCAATCACCAACCATCATCTCAATAAAACTTTAAACTTTTTTCTTAAAAAAAGGTCATTTTCAATTCTGTTTTACATAATGGTTCAATTATTTTCCTTTCAATCTTATTTGTTTAAAAGTGCTCCATGTATTTAATGCTGAGGACACCAACCTGGACAGATTGTTGTGCATAGATTTAGTTTATTATAGTTTTTAAAACTTTTAAAGCATTTGTTCATTTCTTTATTAAAAAAAAAAAAGTGTATGGGTACAAGTAGAGCTTGCTTTGTTTTTACACAATATTTAAAATAATTAGCTAAGAATTATCTAAAGTATTTATATTTTTTATAATAATTATTTTATTGTATTAATAAACGTGTTAAATGATAATATTTATTTTGATAAGGCAAATAAAAATCGTTTCCATCTGGGCCATGAAAAAAAACTTAGCCTTTAGCCCTTTATGAGTCTAAAATTTCATTTATAATGGTCTTAAAAATGTATTTAAAGGCTTAAATTTAACTTGTTGAAACCCAGTTGTAACTAAAAATAAAACTTTTATTAACTTTACTATTGTTATTGTTGTTATTTTATAATAATAATACAGTGTGTGTAATGAGTATATCTTAAAATATAATTTATTATTAGAAAATTATTATTATTGGTAGTAGCATTGGTACAGATATTAGTGTTGTTTTATTATTATTATTATTATTATTTTTATTATCATTATTAGTCGTAGTAGTAGTTAATAATAGTATTAAAATAATTGTTTTAATATTAGTAGTAAAATGCATTTAAATGATAACAGAAAAATATTTTTACAGTATATAATTTAATATAACATTATAATCTAACATAACATGATATAATATAATACAATATAAAAGTATAATATAAAAAATATAATATAAAATAATAATGTTAAATAATATAATATAATATATTAAAATATAATATAACAATAATATGTAATATAATAAAATATAATATGATAATGTTATAATATAATAATTTAATATAATATAATACACTACTATATAATATATAATATAATATAATATAATATAATATAATATAATAATGTAATAATGTAATAATATAATATAATATAATATAATATAATATAATATAATATAATAATGTAATAATATAATATAATATAATATAATATAATAAATATAATATGGCTTCCCCTACAGAACTGATAGATTTCAAGACACGGCGAGTAGCAGCGTTCAGAAAGAACCTGGTGGAACTGGCAGAGCTGGAACTCAAACATGCCAAGGTTTACATTCACTTTACATTCAGTGATATCCAAACATCTTCCTCTCCATACATCCTGACCATTTTCTCTTTCTCTGCAGGGGAATCTACAACTGCTGCAGAGCTGCCTGGGAGTCCTGAAAGGGGACACTTAGATGCCCAAGGTGGGCTCTCGATAGAGGGCTTGGTCCCTGCTTTGGTCTCGTCTTCATTCAGAAGATGGAGGAGAGAACATATAATGGGGTCAGTTTGTCTAAAGAGACGTCTGTACTCACCACTACCAGAGACACCACACACTCCCTCCACAAACCCCTACAGAGAGGCAGTCCACTGTGGAAGATCCACACGATACACGGCTTCATTTATTCACACCTTTTTGGCTTTTAATTCTTCATCCTTTCTCCATGGGGTTCGCTTTCGTCACTCTTTGTTTCTTGTCTGGTTTAACGCTTTGTTTCTGTTTTTTTGTTTTGCTTGTGCTTTGTTTGTTTGTTTTGGTCAGTTTTGTTACACTTGTTTTGTTAGTTTGTTTTGTTTTGCTTTTTTTGTTTTTTGTTCCACTTTTCCCCCCCAATTTGTTTGTTCGTTTGTTTGTTTTTTCAGTTTTGTTAACACTAGTTTTTTGTTCTATTTTGTGCTGCTTTTCTGTTTTTTATTCCACCTCATTTTCCCCTAATTTTTTTTACTTGTTTGTTGTTTTTCTCTATTTTGTTAACCCCTTGTTTTGTTAGTTTTTTTTTTTGTTCAGTATTGTTTTGCTTTTTTGTTCCACTTATGTTTTTTTACTCATTTGTTTTGCTCCGTTGTTTTTTTTGTTTTGTTGCGTTTGTTTGTTTGTTTGTTTTTTCAGTTTTGTTAACACTTTTAGTTTTTTTATTTGTTTTACTTTATTGTGCTTTTTTTTAGTGTTTTTGTTCCACTTTTTTCTCTAATTTGTTTCGCTTGTTTGTTTGTTTGTTTGTTTGTCCAGTTTTGTTGCACTTGTTTTAGTTTTTTCAGTTTTGATAGCACTTTGTTAGTTTTTTTTGTTATGTTTTTTTTCTATATTGTTCTGCTTGTTTTTTTGTTCCCTAATTTGTTTCGCTTGTTTGTTGTTTGTTTGTTTTCAGTTTTGTTTTATTTTGTTCCGCTTGTTTTTGTTTTATTTTGGCTCTGTTTTGTTATTATTATTATTTTTTTTGCTGTTCTAATTGTTGTTGTTTTGGTTTGTTTTTGGGTTCTATTTTGTCCTGCTTTTTATTTTTGTTATTTGGTTCCACATGTAAATTTTTTTCTATATTGTTCTAATTGTTGTTTGTTTGTTTTTGGTTCTGTTTTGTTCCTTGTTTATCTTGTTTTATTGTTGTTTGTTTATTTTTGGTTCCTATTTTATGTATCTTGTTTTTTGTTTGTTTTGTTCTGCTTGTTTGTATTGCATGTTTGTTTGTTTGTTTTGGTTTTATTTTATTTCTCGTTTTTCTTTGTTATATTGTTGTTTGTTTGTTTTTGTTTATCTTGATTTAGGTTGTTTTTGTTCTGCTTGTTGTTTGTTCTGTTTTTGTTTTGTTCTACTACTTTGTTCCGCATGTTTTTTGTTTGTTTGTTTTTCCCCTCTGTTGTAATCTTTAAAGTTAGTTTTTGGTGATCTGTGTGTGGACGCTGCTCTGATATCTTGTTCAAGTTGAGCTGATTGTTATTACGATTAAAGTGTATGGTCACTCAAAAGCCTTGTACATGTGTTAGTTTTCATCGTATAGCTTCTATATGGATCATCGTAATCAGACTAATTTTTCTTTGTTTTCATTCCTGATGAATAACGCTTTGGTATGTTTGCCTTAATGTAGAATCATATATTGTTTAAAAAGAAAAGAAAAAAAGATTATACATGGATGCATTTTTTTTTCTCTCCAGATTTTTTTTAAAGTGCACTGTATATGAATGTTGTTTTTCACGATATGTGACCAAAGCTTCCATTTATTCAGATGGAGGAATGCTGATATAAACGCTGGTGATAACAATGATAAAATGACCATGAAAATAACTAAATAAATGATGCTGTTTACTTTAAGTGACGTTTTCTTTTTATTTAAATGTGAACAAAGGACTGATTGGTCTGAAGCAGGGAAAGAAGAAAATTATCAAAGCAGTGTTCGCTTACTGGTAATATATAGCGATGGGAAGAAATGGAGACTTTGAAAATTCTTTTTTTTTTTCATTTGTGTTTTATATAAAATATTAATTACATTTATTTAAATATTTAATTAATGTATTTACAATTTATTTACTTTTTACTTTTTGTGTGTAAAATATCAAAAGGTGCCATGATTTAGGAAAGTTTTTATTCAATTAAAAAATTTTAAAGGAAGAAACTTTTACTTCAGACGAGTTCAAACTAAACAAATGTAAATGTTAATCTCACCATTGTAATTGTCAGAAGAAAAAAATCTGTATAATTTTTATCATTTTTAAATAGAATAAACCTGATTGTAACATTTTATTCAATTCCATATAAAAAAAATTTATTCTGGCTGTAATTTTCTGGATTTCTTTAAAATGACAATATTGCTATTAGACTTTTATAGAGAAAATCCAGTTGTATAACATAATTTAAAGCCAGATAGATAAAAGACAAATATCAAATATACAGACAGAAGGGTAGATGAACAGAAAAGGATAGACAGATAGAAATGGACAAATATTAAATAAATAGAGAGATGGACAGTTGGATACGGATAGGCAGATAGACAGATAGATAGATAGATAGACAGACAGACAGACAGACAGACAGATACCTACCTACCTACCTACCTACCTACCTACCTTCCTTCCTTCCTTCCTTCCTTTCTAACAAATTCTTTGTTTAGCAGACCCTTGATTGACCAAAGTAAATATTTAAGTATTGTTGCAGGACTTTTATTTTAACAGCTTTATTTTGAAATTGAGAAAGAAGACACCCGGAAACATTCCTCAACGTTTTCTGATGTTGCAGTGTCTGTGAAGCAAAAACACGTTTTTTAGTCGTTGTGTTTTAGTCGAAATTAAGAAAATGAACCGAAAGGAAGATTATGATTCATACGAGATTGAAGAGCCGAGCGATGAGGAAGGAGCCGCGAGCAGGTAAATGCCAAAACACTCATTTATTCACACAGCATGTAAACAAACTAACGTGGGCTGTTTTTTTGTGCTGGTAGCATCATACACTGTTATCAGCATAAATACCTTCATAACCTATTTTTGTAGTCATATATTTTTATGTAGAGTACTATATAAATTCATTACAAACTCCAAACACTATGGTATAAAGTTGTGGCGTTTGGAAGTTGTCCAGAATAATATTACTTTTGTTTAAACCAAACGGTGTATGAGTATAATGGATTTATTGTGTATAATATATATATATATATATATATATATATATATATATATATATATATATATATATATATATATATATATATATAATACTGTAACCCAAGACTTTTCTATTAAAAGGAATAATATTGTGAGAAGTTTACATTTGTTAACATAACGTTAACTTTACCTTTAGACCAAACGGTGTTGAGGCACGCATGCAAAGGTCTAGAAATAATATAAAATATGTAAAATGCATAACCCACCATCAGGTATATACTGCTACAATGTTTAGTTGTTTAATTTACAGTTTGAAAAAACAGTATTACCATTTTGAAAACCGACATGACCAGGTTGCACATACAGGATATAGAATTGGGCACTCAAGACTTACACGCTAATATTTATTGAAAGAGAAAAATGTGTGACGTGTGTAAAAATATTTTGACTATAAACATTTTAATTGTTTATATATATATATATATATATATATCAGAGAACCATTTAATTCAAGATATATTTTAAGGGAAAGTCTTTTTTAGCTGTTTAAAAGGTTTAAAAAAGGAATTGTACAATATTTATTATTGATAAAATTATATTTTATTTATTAGCCTCTCTTAAGCAGTAATTTTTCGATTGTCTTCAGAACAAATCACTCATATAATAATTTGCCTAGTTAACCTAAATAATCTACATAAGCCTTTAATTGGGGATTGGGGAAACATTTACAGGGGGGCTAATCATTTAGGAGGGCTAAAAATTCTGGCTTCAGCTGTATATTTTAGTTGTTCTGAGCTCAAATCTCATGAGATGATCAGAGTGATTTATTAATGATTATGAAACTCCAAACTCAAGCGTCAAACTAACTTCACCTCATCTGTATTTCCTCAGCTCTGAGGATGAGCTGGATGTCCTCCTGAACGGGACGCCGGAGCAGAAGAGGAAGCTGATCAGAGAATATCTGACGGGGGAGAGCGAGTCCTCCAGTGGAGATGAGTTTGAGAAGGAGATGGAGGCTGAGCTCAGCAGCACTATGAAGAGCCTGGAGGGCAGCTGGACTGCGTCTACAACACAAGGTTTTACTCATTCACTCACAATATCTGTGCACCTCTGGGTTAAAACAATGACTCCTAAACATGCAACAAATAGGGCTGCGCGATATTGGGGAAAAACTGACATTGCGACAGTTGAAGGCAAAATTATTTGCCATCGTGTACATTTTTCAAATATTTCCTAAATTATGTTTTACAGAGCAAGGAATTTTCCCCAGTATTTTCTCTGAAGAAAGTCTTATTTGTTTTATTTCGGCTAGAATGAAAAACATTTTAAGGTCAATACTATTAGCCCCCTTAACCAGTTAAACTCCATCATCGACGTCATCAACTTTCGCTTTAAGATTTAAAGGATTAGCATTGCACCAGACCCTCTTAAGTAGTTTCGTTTGAGTGGATGCATCACTGTGGTTTTTTTTCTACTGTACAAAAGTTATTTACATTTAAATACACAGTATTTTGGATACCCGAGCTGGATATTGAACATTGGGTAATTTTCATATGATCAATGATCGATTTCTGTGGCTTGTACAGCACCTCTTATCAGTTAGAATACAATAACTTTTGCAGAGATTATGGTAGAGACATTTTTCTTCTTCCTATGACTAGACATGTGCATGTTGCCTGATTACCCTAACCTGCCTAGTTAACCTAATTAACCTAGTTAAGCCTTTAATGTCCAGTTTCATAAACAGGGCTTAGATTAAACCATGACTAGGCCTTAGTTAAATTAGGCTATTTGAGGCACATTCATAAAAATGGCTTTAGAAAAATATTTTACTGGTGTGCACCCGGAGACGAAAAATGACACTGACGTATTGTAAGACATCTCACTGCAAGTTATTTTGAGTTGAGACAGCTCAAACATGCAATTTAATCTTGACTAGCATTAAACCTTGTTTGTGAAACCGGGGGATAATGTCACTTTAAGCTGAATACTAGTGTCTTGAAAAATATCTAGTCAAATATTATGTGCTGTCATCATGGCAAAGATAAAATAAGTTATCATTTATTAGAAATGAGTTATTAAAACATGTTTAGAAATGTGTTGATAAAATCTGCTCTACATTAAACAGAAATTGGAGAAAAAATAAACAGCAGGAGCTTTGTTTTGTTAGAACTTATAATGTAACATTGATTGGGACGATTTTTCATAAAATATACAAAATAAAATAAACAAATTAAAGCAGAGACGAAAACAATAGAGCAAAAATAAAAAAGAAATAACAGTGCTTTAAGGTTTTCAGTGGTGTCTAACAGTATTCAGCTACAGAAAATAAGTTATCAAATCTAAATAATTAAACACAATTCATATGTAGTTTCATTAGTGGAAAACATAAAGTGTCAAATTTCTTTAAAATTTCTTGTGGCCAATTAGCTTAATCATAAAAACACTTTCACACTATCAGATTTGCAATGACTCTGTATAGTTCTCGTTGTTTAAATAATTAAACACAATTCATATTTTTTTAAAGTGGTGAATTTAAGTTCCCTGTGCCCAAATGCTTTAAATTAGCTTGAAATCATAAACTCACAGGCCTTAAAGGTGCAGTAGGTGATCTGCCAGAATGCTAGCATTAGCATAATAGCTTAGAAATTTTACGATCCTTCCCTGCTGTCCAAAGCCAAGCCTGCTTAAGTCAGGAACACGTGAACGCGCACTGATTAGATGGAACACTAGATCATGTCATTCGCCAGTTAGAAAACTCTACACGCGCTTTATCAAGCGTAGTTGTGGACAAGTCAGCTGGTGCAGGATTATATTTCCCCAAAACTGTGTCACAGGCTGTCACTGTTCAATGAATGAATGTGTGAATGAATATAAATCAAACTTCACCTCAGTAAAGCTGGTTAGGCGGAAGAGCACATTTACTGATGTTTTGTTATTAAACTAAATAAAAATGAGGTCTGAAAAAAGCAGTGCTAAAAACTGAAATATCCTGTCATCCGTTTACATTACACTAATATTTATGTTACCAAGACAACCAGGGACTTTTCATTTTCAGTTGTGCTCGCTGATCCTCGCACATCGCTTGTTTTTTTCTTCTTTTACACTTGAACAACTAAACAAATGCTCAGGTCTATTTAACAGACTATATTATCGATGCTGTAAAAGGTTCTCCATGAACTTAAAAATAGCCAATCTTCTGCTGGACGTTTTCAGTAGCTGAACAACACCACTGTGCATATAAACCCATTCATAAACAACAACACAGTCTACATTAGCTTTGCGTGGCTAAAATATTTTTAAAACATACCTGTCTAAAAGAAATAGTCCAGCCGTGGTGTCGCCCTTCAGATTGTTGTTTTGAACTGCATAACGTCATTCACTTTCATTGTGCAAAAGTAATACTGATATTGATTCATAGTTTAGAAGTTTTGATTCTGCATTTTTGGCAGAAGCTCTTTCAGAAACACTATTTCTTTTTATGCATACAAGGCTACGGTCTTTCAGAAAGAAGTTCAGGTTGATGTGGAGTTTGCCTGATGTCTCTCTATCAGCGATAGACCCGTGCTTCATGTATGCGCGTGAGTGACATATCTGTCTGCTTATAGAGGCTGCGCTGAAATTTTAATTTAAATTTGTGGACAGTTTGAGTTACCAGTTGTAACCTGTTGAGTTATTTGTCGGTTCGACAATATTTAATTGGAAATTTTTTTGTTTTTTTGTTTTATGCCTTACCCAGATTATAAAAATAAATTTAGATCATTTACTTCAGGGGTATTCAAACCTGGTCCTGGAGGGCCGGCGTCCTGCCGGTTTTAGCTCATCCTTGCAGGTGTGTTGAGGCAAGTTGGTTTCTAGAAAGCTTAGTAAGAGCTTGATTAGCTAGCCCAGGTGTGTCTGATTAGGGTTGGAACTAAACTTTGCAGGACATCGAGTTTGGACACCCCTGATTTACTTTAATCATTACTATTGGAATGTGAAGAGACTTTCAACCAGCACAACCCAAAAGGTTTCTAAAGACAGTCACCTACTGCACCTTTAAAAACACTTACACACTATTAGATTAAAGTTGCGCTGACTCCACAAATCATGTGTTTTAAATTCTGTTTTCTAAGCCAAAATTATAATAATAAGTTGCTTGTTGCTGGAATCTTGTCATGTCACGTGTTGTTAGTACACGATGTAATGCTTTAATCAATATTTAATTCTAGGTCAAGCAACTGGGACTAATGACAGCACTTCTGCAGCAAACAAACCACAGACTCAGGAGTATGACAGCATCTACTTTGACTCCGACTCGGATGAAGATGTTACAGCTGGTATTCACTTATGAACATCTAAATGTTTAATTGTGCTTCAGCCATTAAACTGCATAATTAACAGTTATTAACATGGTTATCAGGTGCTTCTCAGGGACTGAGGAGGAAGCAGCGCACTTTTCTCACTAATGACGAGCTGTTGTACGACCCAGATGAGGATGACCGAGACCAGGCTTGGGTGGATGCAAAAAGAAAAGCGTGCGTTTTTATTTTTCATTATTAGAAAGTAACAAAGTCAGCGATGCATCAGAGAAATTCAGTAGGGATGCAGATGAATACTGAAAAATTAGGAAGAACAAAAAATATATACAGTGGTGGAAATACGTAATCAACACGTCACCATTTTTCTCAGAAAACATATTTCTAAAGAAGGTGCTGTTGACTTGAAATGTTCACCGGATGTTCGGAACAACCAAAGAAATCCATATATACAAATAAAACAAAACTAATTAGTTAAAAAATGAAGTTATGCATAATAAAATGAAATGACGCAGAGAAAAAGTATTGAACACATGAAGAAAGGAAGGTGTGGAATGCAGTGAAAGCCCAGACAGCAGCTGAAATCTCTCAGTAGTTCTTCAGCAACATTCTGCCGTTCATCAGTGTAAATGAATATTATCTGCTTCAGTCCAACATCTACATTAGCAGGAGGATGAAGATGAAACCAGGGTGGACATTTTAGCAAGACAATGATCCAAAACACAGCCAAGGAAACTCTCAAATGCTTCCAGAGAAAGAAAACCAAGCTGTAGAATGGCCCAGTCAATCACCTGACATGAATTCAATAGAGAATACTAAATAAACATCAGATTAGATAGACAAGACCCACAGAACCATCAATACTTTTTTTTTGGTTTTGTTTTATTTTTATGCTTTTATTGATTGGGTTTTTACCAAAGTCTGGTTCAATTCCATGTCAACAGCTTCTTTAGAAATATTATTCACAGGAAATAACATGATATGTTCAATACTTTGCCCCCCACTGTATAGTGTTGGAGTAAAAAAAAAAACGGAAGAGGGGTGCATTGGGAGATGTTTCATTTACTGGATATGTGTATAATGTGGTTGTTTAAAGGTGTTTAAGTATTATTCTTAGGATTGGGTTTAATCTTGTATTAAATATATTTATCTGGAGTCAAAGGCAATAAGTTATTCTTTCCGTTTCGTAAATTTCTCTAATATTTTGGATCCTTTTTATATGTAGGTGGGTTTGATGTGAGCCAGTTAGATGTAATACATTTTAGTGCTAAAAACAATATATGTAGAAAACAATATATGAAGTAATTAACGTTTTTGATCGGTATTGTTTACCATGCTATTTTGAATAATCAGTCACAAGTAGCATGCAAGTATGACTTGAAAGTAGCATTAGCACTATTTAGGAGAAAGTCTGAATGTGCACATATAAAACCAGCTGTACCCCAGTCTGATTATTGGCTTTATAAAATGGAAAAAGTGCTACATTATGATGCAAAATTAAACAGAACAATATTGAGGTTTTATATATGCACATTCATTTATTTTTGAATGGTGACAACTTGTGACACGCTCCCTATATTGTTTACCACACTATTTGAATATTTAAGCCAAAATGATTTGCAAGTATGAGTTCAAAACAACATAATCACTATTGAATTGACTGTAAGCAATGCTGTACTTTATTAGTCATTGGCTGCCAAAATGATTTCCCTATTTAGAACTTGCAAACAATACTTCTCTGACAATATAATATTACTGAGAAAGGCTGAATGTGCAAATGAAAAACCAGCTTTACCCCAATGAGTTTTTGTCACTCAGAATTGAGCTCAAATGATTTTGGTTTTCACAACTTATTATTTGATAATAACTTATTATTGTTATTTTTAATACAGATATAGAAGTCAGAGACCGTTACCGCCATCAGCGAACAGAAGAGGCAAAAGCCAGGCTCTTCCCAGCAGTGATGCTGTGCTCAACTGTCCTGCCTGTATGACCACACTGTGTCTGGACTGTCAGAGGTAATGTCATGTTGTGCATCTGTGCAGATTATTTTATGTTATACCACAGTCTGTTTAATATGGAGGGAAATTTCCACCAGTTTCAGTTGACATGCAGTGAGTAAAAAAATACCTTCATAGATAAAATTTGAGTTAAAGTCAAAATGATTAGTCCTCCTGTGAAATTCTTATTCATTTTCAAATATTTCCCCAGTGATGTTTAACAGAGCAAGGACGTTTTCACAGCATTTCATATAATATATATTTTTTTCTGGAGAAGGGATTCTTTTAGTTTGGCTGGAATGAAAGCAGATAAAAAAATTTTGTAAAACATTTCAAAGTCAATATTATTAGCCCCCTTCAGCAATATTTATTTTCAATTGTCTACAGAACAAACCACTGTTATACAATGACCAATTACCCAAATTTGCCTAACTAACCTAAATAAGCCTTTAAGTGTCACTTTAAGCTGAATACTAGTATTGTTAAAAATAACTAGTAAAATATTGTGCACTGTCATCATGGCAAACACAACAGAAATTAGTCATTAAAAATTTGTTATTAAATTATTGTTTAAAAAATCGGTTTAAAATATATGTACCATCTTACAATGGAGAAGATTCTGTACTCCACCAAAGGTTGCAGTCAAAAATGTTATCTTATTTGGCAGCCAGTGCTGACATACATAAAACTAATGTATCCAGACTTAATATTTTCAGTTTGACCATTGTTTATTTGTATCTCACATTTTTTTCCTTTCCTTCATTTTATTTTATTTTCTATCTAAATTATTTTCTTTCTTTTTTTTTTTTTTTTTACATTTGCGAAGCCTAATGTGACTCGTTGTGTGCGTATATATGTCCAATAGATGAGTGAACATATAATAGAACTTTTATCTACTTGTATGTGTGTATATATTATGACATGATGAAAAGCAGATAAATAAATAGGCATAACATATTGTAGAGAAATGGTGCAGTGGGGCGGGGGGCTCTGTTGGAGCAAAGATAATTTGTCTCTGTTTTTCAAATACTTTTGAAATTAATGTTTTATTAACCAAAATGTTAATAAAAAGATCTGAACAAAAAAAATCTGTTAAAAAAATCTCTGTTAAACAACACTCGCAAAATATTTTTGAAACAATTAAAATTTCACAAGAGAGCTAATAATTTTACCTTAGTCTGTTTATAATTCAAGGTTCTCAAGAGTTATGGAATTTCTGGACAATCATTACATGTAAAAAGGTCTATTCTAGACATTGAAAATAAGGGAATTGTATTTTATTGTCCAAGTCAGGGATTTTCATTTGTGATTTTAAACTTTACTTGCCGTTTATCAAAATGTGTTTTTTCTATATAGTGTTTTTAACGCGCTGTTTTACATATTTTGCTTTTGTAATGGTTGGGTTATTTTTCACTGCCATTTTATTTTTTTCCCACTTGTCAACCAACAATCAATGCAGTCATCAGGCTGTACCTGTTAAAATACTGTCAGTCAATGCTCCATCCTCAACCAGTCCCTCCTTGAATATTTAGGAAAAATTTCAGATTTATTTGACAAAATAAATAAAATTGATACATGATTGACTCTAAATTATCAAAACAAGCAAAAGGTGTTTAACTCTCCTCAACAATTGCATTAGAAAAAATATTTAAAAATTTCACTTTTTATATTTTTTATTTCAAAATTGTCTTAATTAAGCAACTGTGGTACTGATGTCTCGTAACAACATGTACAGAAGTTTGTTACAAAATTTCACATTTGATTTTAGCAATCTGTACAACAAACCTAGCCCTGTTCAAATTGGCCTTGGCTGAATTGTGATGTCACTATGCGTTTAACGCCTCTTTCACACCACACACACAAGCAGAATGCGAGCAGTGCGTGTTTTTTTTCAGTGTCCATCTCAACAGATTAAAGCTTTCTTACCACACGCAGAAGCAGAGTGCGTCAGTACGGAGCATGAGTGACGCTGAAGCAGCAGTGTCGCGATCATTTTGGCGCTGGATCTATTTTTGCTGTGCTGCTCGCGCTTAATTAAAGTGACAGTGCATTGATAATGACCAAAGACACATAGAATGACAGTAAAAGTAGCAATTTTACCCAATAAAAGCCTCGATAATATCCACAGATTTTTATAGATTCAATTAAATGAACTTAAACGATTAAAAACTGCAACAAATATTTATTTGAGACCCAGACTACAAAACCAAACCTAAAATTTGCTTAAGTTGCACACTAGTTTGATCATGTACAAATATCATTTTAATTATATTTCATTACTATCCTGACAATCAAAAACAAAATTACACAATATCACAGGCGATTAAGCTCTGTGTGCACCTCAGTGAACATGAAAATACATGAGTGACACTCCTCATAGAGTGTGAGCAGCAGACAGTTCTTTATTATCTAAATAATTAGTCAAATAAAGACTAGCTGGTTAAGGAAACAGCATGGATGGAAGTGCTGTGTGTCTTGGTGCAAAGTAAAAATAAAATGTGTATTTATGTACAGTTGAAGTCAGAATTATATAATATATTCCGCCTGAATTATTAGCCCTCCTGTTTATTTTTTCCCCAATTTCTGTTTAATAGAGAGAACATTTTTTCAACACATTTCTTATCATAGTTATAATAACTCATTTCTAAGAACTGATTTATTTTATCTTTGCTGTGATGACAGTAAATAATATTATAATAGATATTTTTCAAGACACTTCTATACAGCTTAAAGTGACATTTAAAGTCTTAACTAGGTTAATTAGGGTAACTAGGCAGGTTAGGGTAATTAGGCAAGGTATTGTATAACATATGGTTTGTTCTGTAGACTATTGAAAAGAAAATACCTTAAAGGGGCTAATAATTTTGACCTTAAAATGCCTTTTAAAAAATTTAAAACTACTTTTATTCTAGCCGAAAATACAACAAATAAGACTTTCTCCAGAAGAAAAAATATTATCAGACATACTGTGAAAATTTGCTTGCTCTGTTAAACATCATTTGAGAAATATTTAAAAAAAGAAAAACAATTCACAGGGGGGCTAATAATTCTGACTTCAGATGTATATATAGATAGGTAACTAGATAGAATAGACTGAGATAGATTGATGCGCCGGTCAGATGTGCGCTGTTGACGCACCTTTGTTCAGTGTGAAAGACAAACCGCATGCGCGTGTGGTGTGAGAGGCGTAAAGTGGGTCAGAGATCTCGAATACAGCTCGGTGCAGTTTCAACAATATAATGTTATTTAATATTAAACAATGCAGATAGCATGAAAGGAATTTGAAGTATGTGTTTGGTCAAAATCTGTGAAAAAACCTGTAGCAATTGAAAATAAAAGCAAGCTCCTCTATATTTTGCACTATTTTCTTGATTTTGTATTGATTGAAGAAATCGCTAAATTCTCTAGAGACTGCTCAACACAACAGCGGCCTGTTTTTCTGTTCATTATAGATTATGGAAATACAGCTTTTTACTAGAATTTGACATTTAACTTTGAGTGGAAACCCTGAATAAATGTAAAGTATAAATAAATTAGGCAGAATGCTTGTTACGATCACAATAGAATAACATTTATCTCAATCAACAGGCATGAGAAATACCACACGCAGTACAGAGCGATGTTTGTGATGAACTGCGCTGTCAACAAACAGGAAGTTTTGCGCTATAAAACCATTAACAAGAGAAAGCAGAGCCGCAGCAGGAAGAAAGCACGTCAGGAGTCTGCATCTACATCCACAGAGGCTGAAAGAGAGTCGAATGCAGGTCTGACTGACGCACGATTGGCAGGAATGGATGAAGAAGAGCTTTATCACCCGGTCAAGTGCACTGAATGCTCTACTGAAGTGGCTGTGTTTGATAAAGACGAGGTTTACCATTTCTTCAACATCCTCGCCAGTCACTGCTAAAGACATTTACTGGACACAATCAATCCAAACCACTTCTTTCAGTTGGTTTGATGTAGACAATTTTACTGTAAAGTAAATATGGAGATGTTTTTTTGGAGGGAAAGGAATGGGGTTAGACTTATGATTTTATTTATAGGGTTTTATTTGATTTCTGATGTTGTAAAATGCAAACACACACAAGTGATCAGCTTCATGTAAATGACATTTCATATTTCCACATAGTTGATTCTATTGGCTTTAAGATATGTTCTTTAAGGGTTTTTTTTATTGTATTTTTGTACCTGGAGAGGATATTGATGGGAATTAAACTGAAGTGACATGTAAATTATTTACTTGCTGCTGGAAATGCATATAATCTTCCTAATGAATGGCTGGTCTGTTAGGGAAAGTGGCAGATTGTGCTTTAAAACCCTCTAAATACACATATAATAAATTTATGTACACTGCCTAACAAAAGCTCAATAATGTTTATATCTGGTGACTAGGCTGGCCAATCCTGGAGTATCTTGACCTTCTTTGCTTTCAGGAACTTTGATGTGGAGGCTGAAGTATGAGAAGGAGCGCTGTTCTTGCTGAAGAATTTGCCCTCTCCTGTGGTTTGTAATGTAATGGGCAGCACAAACGTCTTGATTCCTTAGGCCACAGGTGTCAAACTCAGTTCCAAAAGGGCCGCAGCTCTGCACAGTTTAGTTCCAACCCTAATTAAACACACCTGATCAAACTAATTGAGTCCTTCAGGCTTGTTTGAAACCTACAGGTAAGTGTGTTGGAGCAGGGTTGGAACTAAATTGTGCAGGGCTTCGGCCCTCCAGGAATTGAGTTTGACCCCCCTGTTTTAGGCTGTTGATGTTACCATCCACTCTGCAGATCTCTCATACTGAATGTAACCCCATGATTTTTCCATCAAACTTGACTGGTTTCTGTGACATTATTGGGTCCATGAGGGTTTCAATAGATCTTCTGCAGTATTTGTGATGATTGGGATGCAGTTCAACAGATAATTAATCTAAAAATCTACCTTCTGCCACTTTTCCAAATGATAAACTTGAAGTCAAGTTATTATTTGTTGCTCTCACAACTGGTATTGAAGAAACATTTGATTTTCTGGTTATTTTAGACTCTGATATTTTTAGTTTTTAATGATAAATACTCTGTTTATGTACCCCAGTTTCACAAACAATGCCTAAACCTAATTCCAGGCTAAAATGTAATTCTTTGTCAACTGAAAGAAACTTTTAATGACTTAAAATATCAATTCAGTTTCTAATTTTGTCTCAAAACCGTTCTCTTTTCTCTCACAAACTTATAAAAATCCATTAATTAATCTATGACTTGATTCTGGCTTATTTTACTTATATTAGTCTTTAAAATCAGGTCATATTTACTTATATTAAGTATAATATACTTACAATAATTTTAAAGGCCTTATGAGGGTTAAGTAAACACTTGATCGTGAGCTCGAAGCGTTAACATCCCTAACAAATATAAAAACAGCTTATTACATTATTTGTTTTGTGATCTGGATTTCAGTCGGACTTTTATTTTGACACTCAGTGCCAACATTTTCCCCTTACCACGTGACTTTTATTATGTCACGCTCTAGTCCAATCCGGAAGGGAGCGGCGGTGGGACCAACACGAGCCGACAGAAAACATGGCGTTTGGAGATGCCTGGAAACAATTATCTTGGTTTTATTACCAGTATTTGCTCGTAACAGCTCTGTATATGCTGGAGCCTTGGGAGAGGACTATCTTCAGTATCCTTTTATCATAAAACATTGAGTTTTGTATGCGTAAGGAGCGTTATTTGGGCTGTCTTGTTATCTCCGGTGAAGGTATGAAGTTGTTTCCTCGCTCTTTAAGTGTTAGTTGTTTTTTCGTGGCGTACTACTAACTAATAAATTAATACAAAGACATGTTTTTGACATTATTAAAATAAAATACATAATGTATTTCCGACACGCGTGGTTTCTGGAAGTCTGGTGTGTTAACTTGTTTGCGTAACAGCTGATTATTTTAGTTCCTCTTTTAAGCTAAATTATTATCGTCATTGTTTTTTATTATCGGTTATAATTAATATACGATAATCAGGAAGTATTTAGCTGTGTGTATTTGCGAAATAAATGAATGAATGAATGAGTGGTGTGTCGCACTTGTGGGTGTGACGTGTGATATTTAAATCAGTGACACAACATGACCTGATTTCCAGGTGTCTTCTGAGAACATGTTGATCTTCAGTTTCACTGTAACCTGTTTTACTTGATGCCTTTTTTTTTGTCGTGAGAAATACATTTTTCTGTGGTCACCTGGGAAATGATGTCACCTGACACCTTTACAGCAGTGTTTTAGTGCTGGGTTTGTATATGGTTAACCCACAGACAGTAAAACAAAAAACAACCTGACAAGATATTTTCTGTTATATTTTTCCAGCGCTTGCAAAATTTCAAAATCTCTGGTAGCCGTTTGGACAGGCAGACTTTTGGTCTGTTTTGGTAGCCCAAATTAAATTCAAGTGGGACAAATAGAGAATATATTTTCTTCTAAATAAAAAGAAATGCATACATTTGCTAAAAAAAACAAACAAAAAAACATTATATGTATTAATTAAAATAATTAATCCATTAATTATTGGATTAATTTTTGGTTGCCAGACTGGAAAACATAATAGCCCCAAGACAGCAGCAGTTTTGCTTGGCCTGTTTTTTTTAACAGTTATTTCAATATAGTTTTATAAATGTACCTTATTGTTTATTTGGAATTGAAAAATCATGATTATGACTTATTGCACAGTGTTTGTACTAAAAATAGCTAATTTATAACTACAGTAAATGCAGAAGATAACAAAATTATTAACCTTATATATATAAGCAATTCCAGCGTTATGGATGTGACATTTGCAGTAAAAACTCAAAACATAATTTCACACAGAAAGTATATGTTGACATTGTATCGAAACTTCTTTTTATATTTTCCAAAATAGCTCACCACAGAGTTATGGTAGCAGAAAAATATCAATATGTAAACATGTTTTATATTTTAAATTAGGAAAATAAACATGCGTTATGGATGTGACAAAAAAAGTTTGCGAATTTTTTTACAATGGACAACAGATTATTTAGAAATTCTGACAGTTAAACTGCACAACCCAAAAGAAACAATGCTCATCAAACAGGTATGAATCGGCTCACTATAAAATTATAATGATTGATTTTATTTTATTTGACATTTTTGCATTTATGAAGAAAAAGTGTCGTTATGGATGTGACACATTTCCGTTATGGATGTGACAGCTGTGAAATAGCCACTTGTGTGATTTTGGCAAATTAAATATAATAGTTTGAAATACTGACAGATACATTTACGAGTATTTTTACAGTACTGTAAAATACTTGCTAACACAAAAAATGTAGAAACGGTTTGTCTATTTTGGTGAAAACTAAATTATCTTTTATGGCAAGGTTGACATTTGCATGGAATTGCCCATATATATATATATATATATATATATATATATATATATATATATATATATATATATATATATATATAGCAGGAGAAGCTTATTTTAAAACATTTAAAAATCAGATCGACCCCAAACCTTGACTAGTTGTGTGTGTGTGTGTGTGTGTGTGTGTGTGTGTGTGTGTGTGTGTGTGTGTGTGTGTGTGTGTGTGTGTGTGTGTGTGTGTGTGTGTGTGTGTTAGGCATGGGATGATGGGACTGGTTTCAAGGTAAACCGCGGTTCATAAAAGTCAAGATAACAACTTTTCCCCCCATTAAACACAAGATATTTCATTTTAGAAAACATTTATAATATTTTAGAACTACATATGTCAGGCTTAATAATTAAAAGAAAACATTGAATTCTGCTGTCTTCATTGGTTTCAAAAACACATTTATGTACGATGCATAAAAAACATTAAAAAAAGAACTTGTTTAAATCTTAGGAACGATGTAACAGAAAATTATAGCACTAAAGCTGCATTTATTTAATCAAAAATACAGTATAAAGTGTGAAGTGTTATTGCATTATAAAATAACTTTTCAAAAATAGTTTATCATTTAATTATTTATTCCAGTGATTTTAAAGTATCACAGTATTGTGATTGCTGCTGTAAAATAAGTTCTTTTTAAATGTCTGAGTAAAAAACAACAACTTTTCCCCCTATTAAACACTATTTATTTTATTTTAAGAAATATTTATAATATTTTGCAACAGTAGACATGGCAGATGGGCGACGTAGGTGGCGCAGTAGGTAGTGCGGTCACCTCACAGCAAGAAAGTCGCGTTTCTGTGTGGAGTTTGCATGTTCTCCTGCATTTGTGTGGGTTTCCTCAGTGTGCTTCGGTTTCCCCCACAGTCCAAAGACATGCTGCAGGTGAATTGGGTAGGCTAAATTGTCCGTAGTGTATCAGTGTGAATGAGTGTGTATGGATGTTTCCAAGAGATGGTTTGCAGCTGGAAGGGCATCCGCTGCGTAAAACATTTGCTGGATAAATTGGCAGTTCATTCTGCTGTGGTGACCCCGGATTAATAAAGGGACTAAGACGAAAAGTAAATAAATGAATGACATGTCAGACTAAATAATCCAAATAAAGGATGAACCTCTGCTGTCTTCATTAGTTTCAAAAAGCACAGATTTCTTTACAACTTGTAAAAGGCGTCTTTGGAGATCTTTTTTTTTTTTTTTTTTGGAAATACAGAAGCATTGTTCAGGTCTATAGCATGCTTGGATGCTGGTTTATAAGTGATTTGTTTTCTAAATCATAAGCTGACCACTGTAGCTTTTGATGTGGAGGGTCCTTTACTGCTGGAGATGCTGTTGCCCTAAAAAAAAAAATCAACAAAACAGTCATAAAAAAACAAACAAACTGTCTAACAGAATTCCTCTGCTATTTTAAAACCTTGACTTTTCCAAACCATGGTGAACTTTGAATTCGGTTATCGTCCCATGTGTGATATATATGTGCGTGTGTGTATATGTTTGTATTTATTTATGTGTGTGTATCTGTTAGGGTTGTCACGAAACTGGAATTTGGTACCAACTGATACTGACATTTTTAAAACATCCATTTCCCGCTAACATTTGAGCGCTGTTGAGCATTTGAATGCTTAAACAGTGCTGACTGGTCATTGTGTTCACGTGCTCAACAGAAATGACTGTGGCTGTTTCTCAATTCCAAGAACGCAGAGAACGGACTTGCGTTCTTGTGGAGACCGGTCTTGCCAGGTGTCCTCGGAAGAACGAACTCAGGAGACCGCGAGGGCAGAGAATGCGTCCTTTGAGAATTGAGATGCTGCGTTCTTCCTGATGGTCACGTGACCTTCACGTGTTTTAAATGGTAAATTATTTAAACATTACAGCCTTCATACAACGATTTATTGTTTTTCCCCTTTTCAAAATTGCATAAAACATTATAAATATATGTCGCACAATATAAATAAAACTGATTTTAATACGAATTTCAGCAAACAAACACCTTTAATGTGTTTATTTCTTTATTAAGATGTCCATGATAATGTTTACTTTCACGGTGTCATTTAGGGAAACTCCTGAGGTGAATAAGTTATATCTCTGAACTTTATTAATAAATCTAAATAAAATGCTGCGCTTCCCATCTCCAGTCGCAATGACTTCTGGGACTTCCAGTGCGAGTTCGGTGCTTAAGTCTGCATCGGTGCGTCCTCGATATCAAGATCACATCCGGGAAGTTTCACGCGTCCTCCGTACTTGCGGTCTTGAGTATTGGAACTGAACTTGGGCAGCTGATGATGACGTTACACGAGAACACGAGGACGCAAGACCGCTGAAGAACGCATATTGAGAAACAGCCATTGATTGGCCATGAATCTCATCAGTTCACCAAACTCACCACAGTTTACTGAGTGTGACCACAGAAACAGGGACACTGGAGCGCTTCAAAGTCACGTCGATCAGCTGGTTTGTCTATAAGCAGACATACGAGAGATCTGCTGATGAAGCTCGGCTTTGAAGCACTTCAGTGTCCCTGTTTCTGTGGTTACACTCCGTAAACTGTGGTGAGTTTGGTGAACTGATGAGCTTCATGGCCAATCACAGTCATTTGTGTTGAGCACGTGATCACAGTGGCAAATCAGCAGTGTTTAAGAACGCTCCACAGCGCTCAAATATTAGTGAGATGGACATTTTTAAAATGCCAGTATTGATTGGTATGGAATTCCAGAATTATGACAACCCTAGTATATATCATTGACCTCTTATGCATCAGTTATTTTTTTTTTTTACAAACATTAGTACAATTTTCATATTTATTTCATTGTAATTTTGTGTACTTATTTTACTGTCATTTTATTTATATTCATTCATTTTCTGGTCGCCACAGCGGAATGAACCACCAACTTATCCAGCATATTTTTACGCAGTGGATGCCCTTCCAGCCACAACCCATCTCTGGGAATTCATTTATATAATAATTATCATTAATATATATTTTAAATCTTTTTTTTTTCATTACCTTTTCCCCATTTAATTCCATCTTTTATCCAGTTTAGTTGTTGTAAATGAATTTTCTCTTGTATAAAGGTTTCCTTAACCATGATCTCAGATTCTCTGCTTATCTCAGTGGCAGCGATGGCGGTCTACACCGGTTATGTGTTCATGCCGCAGCACATTATGGCTATATTACACTATTTTGAAGTGGTCCAGTGACGACAGCCAGCAGGATCATCGTCATCATCATCCTGCGCGCCACCGCCGTCTGTTGGCGGGAAAATGAACTGCTCCAAAACTCCTCTCCACGTGAAAGAAAATGAACACTTCAAACATGGACACTTGTGTTTGCTGAAGGAGAACAACAGTAAACAGCACAGTCTGCCGCTGTAATAGCACACACTGCCCTGTCTGCAAATGTATCCTTTTATAAATAAGATATATATAGGATGACGACTTTGTTTTTAAATAATGCTTCAGTTTTGTTTCATGACAGTGCTTTGTTCAGATGATTCTTATTTTTTGATGTGTATATTTAATTGTATACATGTTTGTAAGATTTTTATAGAGGTTTATTGACCTGAAATGACGTGGTTTGAGTTATCTCTGGTATAGTTTTGGATCTACTTTTGATCAGATTTGACATTGTGAGTCATGGACGGATGTGTGACGCCATTGTTGATCATTCAGAACCGGTTGCTCGGGTCATAAACACACTTCAGTAAACTCCTTCTGTAATCTACCTTGATCTTCGAGCTCTGGAACAATTATTCAGCAGATTCACTGTAAAATCCTGAAGAGAAAATAAGTCTTTTACTTTATGGAGAAGATTGTAAATGGTATGTAAACATTAATCTTGCCTCTAGTTATGAAAAACAAGTTGTATGTCTCAATTAAAATGTTGAATCTAAATTATTTTAGTCTGTTCTTGACTTCTCAACTGATTAACATAGTTTTGTAATAAAGATTTTCTTTTACACTTCAGGTGTCCTGTTTGTGGTAAAATAAGTACATTTTAATACTGAATTAAATCTTGTTATTTATCAATCAACTTCTATTTATATAGCACTTTACTACAGTCACGGCTGACTAAAGTGCTTGACACAAGTAAAAGCAAATTATACAACACAACAGAAAAGCAGACGATGCAAAACAGTACAAAAAATATCAATAAAATCCACAAACATTAAAACACAGCATCAGTGCCCTGCATTAAAAGCCAATTTAAACAAGTGGGTCTTAAGCTGGGCTTTAAAAAGTGTCAGGTCAGGGATTGTATGAAGCTCAGCAGGGAGGGTATTCCAGACTTTAGGACATGCCACTGCAAAAGAGCGATCACCCCACTGCTTGTTGACCGAGGGACTTCAAGCAGGAGTTGGTCAGCAGATCACAGAGCTCTTCTGGGTTTGTGCACATGCAAAAATTTGCATAAATAGGAGCAAGGCCATTGATGGCACTAAAAGCAAACATCAAAAGTTTCAAATCAATACTAAACTTAACGAGGAGCCAGTTTTAGGGAGTAGAGAATTGGTGTAATGCGTTCACTTTTCCGACTGTTGGTCAACATGCGAGCAGCAGCATTTTGCACAAGCTGCAAACCATGAAGACATGACTGATTAACTCTTAACATAAAGTGCATTACAGTAGTCCAAACGCAAACTAACAAAAGCATGGAGGGTTTTTTTTCAAGATCAGCCTTGCTCAGGAAGGGCTTGATTTTAGAGAGAAGGCGAAGCTGGAAAAAAAAAAGCTTGCTTTAATCACAGAATCAATCTTATATTTTACACTGCTGTCTAGTCTCTCACCCAAGTTTTTGACCACATGGGTGAAGCGAGGAAACTGAGCCAGATGTGCTGGAGATTAAATGGTTGACCTTAGAATTGTCAAACAAAATACACTCGGTTTTGTCTTCATTTAGACAGCCATTTTTTGACAGCCATATCTTAATACCATTAAAACATTTGGTAAAAGAATCAAGTGAATCTAAAAAGTTTGGTGGAACAGGAATATAAAGCTGAACATCATCAGCATACAAATGAAAAGAGACATTGTGGTTTAAAATAAGTGAGCCTAAAGTTAGTCACTTTTTTTATTTGATATATATATGGCAACAAAACATGAATAAGTTATTTGAAGCATTTATTAATGGCAGATCATATTTCAACATTTATGAAACAATGAAGTCAAGTCTCCTATAATGGATATATCAACAAAAACAATTGCTTATTGTTGGTTAATGTCAACCCTATCCCTAACCCTAACCTTAATAACCTTTTTTGTAAACTCGCAACACAAATATACATTAGTTAATGCATGAACCAACCAATAAAAAACCAATTGTTTTAATATACATTTTTTGGCAATTTTTGTTAGTTCATGGTCATTTTGATCTATTAAATAGTACTTTCGAAGTATTATTATTATTAACAACAAATGTTGCAAAGAGAACTGACATTAATGTATACATTATCAGAACTTGTCATATAATTATATACATACAGTTGAAGTCAGAATTATTCGCCCCCCTGTTTATTTTTTCCCTCAATTTCTGTTTAACTGAGATTTTTTTTTTCCACCACATTTCTAAACATAATAGTTTTAATAACTCATTTCTAATAACTGATTTATTTTATCTTTGCCCTGATGACAGTAAATAATATTTGACTAGATATTTTTCAATCTATTTTTTTACACTTCTATACAGCTTAAAGTGACATTTAAAGGCTTAACTAGATTAATTAGGTTAACTAGGCAGGTTAATTTATAATGGTGGTTCTGTAGACTATCGAAAAAAATATATAGCATAAAGGGGATAATCATTTTGAGCCTAAAATGTTTTTTTAAAAATTAACTTATTTTATCTGAAATTAAACAAATAGGACTTTCTCCAGAAGAAAAAATATTATCAGACATACTGTAACAATGTCCTTGCTTTGTTAAACATCATTTGGGAAATATAAAAAATAAATGAATAAATTCAAAGGGGGGCTAATAATTCTCACTTCAACTGTACATATAGTTTAAAAAAATATTACTGTACATTTCTGACAGTAAATCCATAAAAAAAAAACATTTTTAAAGTTTTTTTTTTTTTTCAGAAATCTCTAATATCAAAATGACAGCCATGATGGTAATAACAAAAACTAATACAATAATAATAAACTTAAAATCAATATAATCATATCAACTCAGAAGTTGCTAATTTGACCAATTTCACAAGTAACTATCAAGTGAGACTTTTTAAAGTAAAAAATGAATTAAACACAAAATACTTTTAAGCTATGAATATATCAATAATCAATATTTCAGTCTTTCCACTACACAAAAGGGATGTTTGCTGTTTTTTTTTTCAACACAATTTAAAATGAACTAAAACTTGAATTTTTTGGACAACTTAATTTTTGTTCAAGCCACTTAAATGTGCATAAACTGAAGTTAACCCAACACTAATCCATTGTGTGGAACCCGGCACTTTTCTTTTAGTGTTCAAAATTCCACATTTAATTAAGCATGTTACACTGAACATTGGTGAATAATAAACGTCTATATATCAGCAAGTAACTGAAAAATCATTCAATCAGGCCAAGTGGTTGTAAACAATGTATATGGCCTGAATTTAAACAAACAATGTATGTGTAGTAATGTTCAACTTAAGTTGTTTAAATTCAGCCCAAATAAATTGTTTACAACCACTTGACATGATTGAATCATTTTTTCAGTTACTTGCTGATATATAGACTTTCATAATTCACCAAAACTTTTATTTATGCAACACACATTTGCTGTAAATACTTCAAACCTATTTGTTATTGATATTTGAGCCGGGGTGGATGATATCCATGACTGCATGTTTCAACACTTAAGCAAAATGTTGTTCAGTATAATCATCATATTTATCAGTTGTTTACAGTAGATATGCATAAATAGCTTAAAACAGATCATAAAACATATTACAGCATGCCTGTCTGAGCTATAAATAACCTATAAATATTGATCCTCGCCCAACAGGTGGAACTGAAGATATGGATGAATCAGTTTAGTTTACAGTCAGCAACCAATGAACTTCCGTCCTGCGCTCATATCATTGGCATGAGTCAAAATGAGAATAGCAGCTGGTTACAGTTTAAACTCCAGGATGAGGGTGTCCTCACGTAGGCCATCGCTGCTCTGCTGGAGTTTGTACTCTAGATGTTCAGCGATGTCCTGTTAGAGCTGTAGTGCTTTACTGAGAAGCTTTTCAGTTGCTTAAAGGGACAGTTCACCCCTTATTTACTCGTCCTCCACTTGATGCAAAATCTCTTTTAGTCTCTTCTGTTGAACATTAAGTTATAATTAAGATTATTGGGGGAAAGAAACAGGCATTTACTTCCACAGTATTTTTATTATTATTATTATTTTTAATTATATACTGATACAGAATCTCCCTCAATATAAATTAAATTTTATTTATTTTTTAAATTATGGAGTGACTAAAGGAGATTGTTATTATTATAAAACTTTCGCTCTGATGTGTCAACAAAAGAAACACAACTTTCAAATACAACTATTGATTAGGGGTGCTCCGACCACAGCCAGAGTTCAGTATCAGCTGATAATCACATTAGATGACTCGATTGGTACTCTCTGATCTGGCCGATCTCATGAACCAATTGCAAGTGTTTGTGTAAGAAGATGATAACATGACAAGGAATCGGTACTCGCTATCGCCCAATCACCATGACCAGGAATTGTGACTCGCTATCGGCCAAACACCATGACAAAGGAATCTGTACTCTGTATTGGCCGATCACCATGACAAAGAATCAGTACTCTTTATGGAGCGATCACCATGACAAAGAATCAGTACTCTTTATAAAGCGATCACCATGACAAAGAATCAGTACTCTGTATGGAGCGATCACCATGACAAAGAATCAGTACTCTGTATGGAGCGATCACCATGACAAAGAATCAGTACTCTGTATGGAGCGATCACCATGACAAAGAATCAGTACTCTGTATGGAGCGATCACCATGACAAAGAATCAGTACTCTTTATGGAGCGATCACCATGACAAAGAATCAGTACTCTGTATGGAGCGATCACCATGACAAAGAATCAGTACTCTGTATGAAGCGATCACCATGACAAACAATCGGTATTCTGTATGAAGCGATCACCATGACAAACAATCGGTACTCGGTATCGGCCGATCACTACACTGTAAAAAAAATCCTGTTTGCCTTAATTTTTTAAACTGAATCAAGTTAACCTTATGAGTCTATTGAACTTATATTATGTTAAACTGACTTAAAACAGCTTGCATACTTAGAAAATTGAGAACATGATTAACTTAGTTTAATAATTTATAATAAGCTGGATAAGTTGGCAGTTCATTCCCCTGTGGTGACCAACTGATAGATAAAGGGACTAAGCTGAAAAAGGAAATGAATGAATGAATATATACAGTTGAAATCAGAGTTATTAGCCCCCTGTTTATTTTTTTCTCAAATTTCTGTTGAACGGAGAGACTTTTTCAACACATTTCTACACATAATAGTTTTAATAACTAATTTCTAATAACCAATTTATTTTATCTTTGCCATGATTACCGTAAATAATATTTGACTAGATATTTTTCAAGACACTTCTATACAGCTTAAAGTGACATTTAAAGGCTTAACTAGGTTAATTAGGGTAACTAGGCAGGTTAGGGTAATTAGGCAAGTCATTTTATAATGATGGTTTGTTCTGTAGACTATCAAAAACAAATGTAGCTTAAAGGGGCTAATAATATTGACCTTAAAATGGTTTTTAAAAAAAATTAAAACTGCTTTTATTTAAGCCTGAATAAAACAAATAAGACTTTCTCCAGAAGAAAAATAGCATCATTTGGAATATATTTAATAAAGAAAAAAATAATTTGACTAATTTATAACTAATAATTCTGACTTCAAATGTATGTATACACACACACACACGCACACATACACTTTTCTATATATATATTTGTGTTCAACAAAAGAAAGAAACCCAAACTTGTTTGTAACATACAAAAATAAACTAGTTTTTTTACTCTACCATCTGAACTGATATGTTCATTTACCCCACAGCATCGTGTCATAGTCCATTGTGCAAATGTCATTTCACTCTGACCTTTCTCTGTGCAGAAGTCCAGCCAGCAGATCTGTCATCTGGGTCAGTACAAACGTCACGTCTGCGATATGCCTTTAATTATTTCCGTACTATTTTTAGCCGATCAACGTGCATTCAGTGGTGTTTCCAGACATTTCAGAGCCACGTCAAATTTATCTGAGAACACAGTGAGAGATATGCAAAAAACTAAATAAATGATTTTGTTTGATCATTAACTAAATGTGAATGTCTGAGGTCACATAAGCAACATAGAAGTCAATTTGGCACTGATGACATTGCAAAAAATTATTAATATAATCAAAAATTAATATCAACATAAGTATATTTTACTAATTAACATAGAAATGCAAAACTAGTGAAGATAAACAAATACAAACAAAATACAAATTTGTTTTATTTTATTTTATGTTTATCTTATATCTATATCTTTGTGACAGGAATAAATCTAAAATGTATTTTCCTTATTTTTTAAGTGTAAAGTAAAAGTAAATTAAGTTCAACATGTTATGCTGAAAAGAACAAAAAAACTTATTTCTAGGTTAAATATAAAATTATGTCAATGTTAATCTGTCTGATATAGATGATCTGATCTAATGTTCTTAACAGTGAATTATTACATTTACAATGTGCTTTGATAAATTAACTTACATAATTACTGTTGTTAATAATAATAATACTGTAAGATAAATAATAAACAAATAAATAAAAAGAAAAAATATTTAATTGTGTCACTGTGTACATGTCTTCATAATCTTTAGTCATAATAAAATATACTTTATTTTATAATATATATTATAGGGGTGTGTATTATATACATGGGTATTATATACATACATATATATATACATATATATATATATATATATACACACACACACACACACACACACACACACACACACACACACACACACACACACACACACACACACACACACACACACACACACATATATATATATATATATATATAAACTTATTGACATGCCTTTACATCTGCTAATTAACAACAACAATAATAGATGGTCTTTTAATAATATAATATAATCTTTAAAACAATAATATTATTAATAGATGGTCATATGTTAATAATAAAATCATTAAAACAGTATTAAATAGGTAATGTGGATTTATATAGTATAGCACAAAATAAGGGTGGATGGAGGGAATTTGGCCTGGAGCTACACCCCTCCTTACGAGAAGTGTCATGGGATTTTTAATGACCACAGAGAGTCAGGAGCTCGGTTTAACATCTCATCTGAAAGATGGCGCTCACTGACAGTGTAGTCCCCTTCACTATACTGGGGCATGTGGACCCACACAGATGACAGGTTGAGCGCCCCCTGCTGGCCTCTCTAAGGGCCTACTCACACTATGCTATTCAAATCGTGCCCAGGCCCGTTTCTGTGAGTTCTCTGAATCGGGCTTAGGCACGGTTGGAAGAGGTGTGCCTGAGCGCAGTTCACTTGGGCTTTGGCGCGGTACGATTATAGTGTGAGTGCAAAGCGCGCCTGAGCCTGAAACTGAAGACAAGACGTGACTCTTACAGGGTTGTTTCATATGGATTTATTACTGTTCAATGAACACAAACTGACGTAGTTAATAAAGATGCAAACACATCACTGCACGACAGCTGCACCTACAGCAAACCTCCTAATATCTGCAACACGAGGACTTGTTCATGAGCGCCAAAAGTGGCTGATGTGTTCTGTGAAATATTTGACTGTGTCACTGCATCCCAAACAACTACAACGATATAACTAAAGAAACCTCCACTGTGCTGAGCGAGAAGGCTTCTCTACTGAACAGCGCATCCTCGATGACGTAAGCGTGCGCAGGCCCGAATGTAATTTGAGTGCAGGTCGTCAGGAGAGAGGACAAGCATTCTTTAGCGCGGTTCAAGACAACTGTACATAGTGCGAGTACACCCTAGCACCACTTCCAACAACAACCTAGTTTTCCCTGTGGTCTTCCATCCAGTATAGTGCAGGCTCAGCCCTGCTTAGCATCAGTGAGTAACCAATCTCGGGCTGCAGGCTGATATAAATCTGGTACAATAAGTATACAAGTAATAGACGGTTAGATGTTAATCATACAATTTTTAAAATAGTAATAATAATAATGATAATAAATAGCCAGATGTTTATGACAATCTTTAAATGGTGATAATTTATATAATAATAATAATAATAATAATAATAATAATAATAATAATAATAATAATAATAAATGGTTAGATGTTAATGATACAATCTTTGACAATTATGACATGCTGACTTTTCACTGACATTATTTAGCCTAACGCTTTTTCCTTCGGGACCAATCTGATGTTTCCTCTGAGCATCTCTAATGTGTGTGTGTGTGCTCTAATTTAAGCTGTGCCACATGTGATGATATTCACGTAACTCAGACTCTCCCTCTCATCTCATCTGACAGGAGCGCCGCACTTCTACAAACTCTATGGCAGATCAGCGCGGAAATCCCTGCCCGGTCCCGAACCGGCCCCAAACCGGCAGAAACGATCCAGATGAGCTGCCCAAAGAGCTGAGGAACCCCCGCAGCAACCGGGCTAAATGCAAAGAGCACAAGCGTTTAAACGCGCAGAAACTCGTGCTGCAGTACGTGGTCCCGTGCATGAACTCCTACGGCTTGTGTATTATCGACCGGTTTCTGGGGGACCGGATCGGGGAGCGCGTTTTGCAGGAGGTCCGGCGCATTCACCAGAGCGGTGGCATGCAGGACGGCCAGCTGGCGAGCCAAAAACTGGACAAAAGCAAAGCTATTCGCGGAGACAAGATTGCGTGGGTCGGTGGCACCGAGGGCAGCTGCCAAAATATCGGCTATTTGCTGACCCGCATGGACAAACTGATCACGTGCGCGGACGGCAGACTGGACAAGTTCAAAATCACAGGCAGACACAAGGTGAGGAGAGACCATTAGCATCACGAAAACAGAACTTTTAAAATTTGATTATGTAACACAGTTAAAGACTACAAACAAATACATTATAAAGTGTGTTAAAATGAATAAGCCTACTTAAAAGTTTAAAAAAAAATCAAAATTGAAAGGTGCATGAACACCGGCAGTGTCTAAAGAGACATACTCAAATCTTTTTATTCTGCCATCATTAACTCATCTTCTGCTTGTTTCAAAACTGTTTAAGTTTCACAAAGGAATTGATTGCTGGAAGAAATACACAAACAGAAGGTGTTTGTGCTTGTATTTGGAAATGCAGCTATGCTTTCATCTGCAAGTTGCAACATGGCCAATTATAGACAACAGGTCTAATTGTTGCAATGCATATTTTCGAAGTTGATCAGAAGACGGAAGACGACACGCGCAAACATGATGGGTTGTCAATCCAATGTTGGGTCAAATATGGACAAACTCAAAGTTTAGTTCATTGTTTTGGTAAATAACATTTAAATTAAACTTTTTAATCTACACTCGCAGGAATAAAGGTACAGGAGCCGCTGGGGCAGTACCTTTTTCAAAGTAGCCTACATACTTGTACCTGAAGGGTTGGTATAGCCTACTTATTATTAGGGCCAGACGGAATCTGCGGACATTTTCTATCATTTCTGCAGAGAATGTTGGTAAAAATCTGCTGATGTGCGGAATAATTTTGGGAGTATCATAACTAAAACCTTAATATATGAAATAAAAAGTAATACCTTTTTAACTTGTATTTAATATTTACAATGCAAATCAAATTAGATCCAACTTATTTGGTAAACAAAACAAGTCTCCCATATAATATATCTACTAAAAGCCAGAAAATATTACTTTACAAACTGTACTGTAAATAAATCATACCAAATTTTCATATTAGTCAATAATATTACAAAAATTAATTTAAAAACTGAATAAATACGAATTTACACACATTTACACAAGTAAATAAACAGAATTAATGATGATCAGATTGGGCCTACTTATTAGGTACATTTGGGTACTAATATGCACTTTTTAGGTACCACTGTGGGCTATTTGGGTACAATGAATCTTTTAAATTCCCAGTGACAGCTCCTGTACCTTTATTTCTGAGAATGTAACAGTTTGACCCAAAGTTGAAGAAATAAAAAAAGCTTTTTTAAAGTGAACAAATAGTGAACAATCAGCTTGTGGCAATTCCTGGCTAATTCATATGGCTCATCCTCCAATGACGGTTGGGAGTAGTTTATTAATAAATCAGATTTATTAATTAAATGTATATGTTTTCAGTGATTTGAGGGATATTAGTGACTATTTTAGAGGTTACTGTAGATCAAACTATAGAAACTATGATTTTTATTTTATTTTAATTTTCTAGGCTACATGCAGATATAAACAGCTATTTTAAGTTATAAGTTGCTATAAGTTGGCGGTTCATTCTGCTGTGGCGACCCCAGATTAATAAAGGGACCAAGCCGACAAAAAAAAATGAATGAATGAATGTTTTGTGAATACTTAAGTTAATAACTGCCATGTTTTCAGGCTGGTGATATTTTTCCATTGATTGGCGCATTATGCATTCACTGGTATAAACCATTATGGGGTTGGGGGGGGGGGGGGGTCGTATGTATACTTATATTAAACATTTTTAATTGTTATTATTTAAGATGTAGACCAGTGATCAGAGAAAGCTATTTCTTACAATTAAAGTGCTGATCCCCATCGTGTTTTGATGTCATTCAGGGGGATCAAGCGTTAATCGGGGGGAGGGTCAATCCCCCCCAAACCCCCCTGTAATTCACACCCTGGGTTTACTGCCACGCATTTTAAGAATCACATTTTTTATGACTGAGCTCAAATTTGCCACTACAAAACTTTATTGTAAAAACCGATGAGTGGTTGTAAGTAACCCAATGTTAGGCTTGTCCATATTTGACATATACATGGACAAACCCAACAATGGGGTTTATTATTATAATTTTTTTTACAGTTTAAATTAAAATGTATATTTTTACATGTATATTTTAACCCAGCGGTTGTTTTAATTTACCCAATGTTGGGTTACAATAACAAAGCATTTTTAAAGTGCATGCACATCTTGAAAAGAAATGTTAAAGATTCTGCGTTATTTTACAGGTCCAAAAGGGATGCATTTCACTATACAGAAACTGAGATAATCTTAATATTAATTATTCATTTTTAATGTGCATGAGGTTTTATGC